GCCCCAAACAATAGGCCTGCCAATTTGCAACGTCAGCCGTAAATAATCCTGCTCGGCAGGTAATACCGCCGCAAGCACACGCCCCAACAAACTCGGGTCCCAGCCAGCCCGGCTGTCGTCCTCCCCCGACGCTCCGCTGGCTCGTATAAGGTGACGTACGTTTGTCTTTTCAAACGTGTCTTTCAGCTTGATCATGTAAAATTTATTCATCAAAAGTCGAAAGTCGAAAGACAAACATTGAGCGACTACTCCGTAGTACGACAAATAATTCCAGACAACCTGCATATCCAGCCAGCCCGGTTCCTGCACACACAACTTCATAATACCACGTATTTCAGCCCAAACCGAAACGAACCCAGCGTCGTCGATTTACATGAGCAGAGGGATAAAAAGATTTTCCTTTCACTTCCGAGACATGAATTGTCCATCCCCCCTCCCATGGGCCGAGCATCCCTAGTTAGCCTAAGGGTATGAATAAACCAAGGTACGATCTGGTGCCTGAAATTACCACCTTGTGCATTGTCATGCCGTCGCCCCCCGGCCCCCCCCCCCCCGGTGTGGGATGATGGGACAGCTCCTCTTGTTCTAGAATAACATGCTTGCTTGCCAAGGCCTATACAATCCTTTAAACTATTCGTACGCAACGCCTTGCGACCCCCTGGCCTTTCTTCAGACGGATGGACATGACTGGCCGGCCGCAAACAAAACCTTTTCCCCCCCTTTGCAATCACAGCCGTTGCATGAATTGCGCCACGGCGGCGCTTACTGACTCCTCCCCCGTTCTTGTGCGACCCGTGGCACGCGACAGCTCATCCATTCGGTGCAACTCTCATCTGCTGCCCCTGCCCAAATACCCAAGAACCTGCTTGGCCCTTACGACAAGCCACACCGCCCATCCTCTCCTCTCTGTCTCTCTCTCTGGGTGTGTGTGTGTGTGTGTGTGTGTGCGAACACCAGTATGTAATTCGGCCGCCTGCACGGGCAGCTGCATTTCGCGGGAGAAGAGAGGAAACATAGATGGTTTACGGATACTGGTAGAGAAGGAGATGAGGGAACAAGAATTAGACAGTAAAGCAAGCAAGGAATTCCAAGAAAAGAAGCATCTGGAATCGTGGTTCAATGTGCTTCAAACGCTGGCTGAGACCTAATAACGTGCGCCCGCTTCCCCAGACTTGGTGTCGAGTGCGTTGATTTTTAGCGGGGAGCCTCTCAACCTGGAATCATCAGTCTTTATTCGTACACAAAGAAATCCCTGTAGCATCAACGGCAGTCTTCTGATGCTGGACTCATCATAAACTCTCCTATTCTTTCGAACGCCATCCTCTTTCTTTTCCTCTTCTTTTTGATCTTTCATCTTCAAAATCTCTCCAAAAGTGCATGACGTAAAACAGCTCGGTGAATTAGTCACTTGCCGGTGTAAGCCTCGAATGCTATGTATCCGAGACGATTTGAAAAGAAAGAGCAACGTATAGCTCACAAGCAGAAATACCGTTCAATGTCCTTCCTAAACCAGATACCACCCATATCTCGAGTGTTATTTTCTTATTTTTTTTTTTATTTTTTTTTTAAAAAAAAACAAGTTTTGACAGCAACTGCGAAACACCACAAACCCCATGGCTTCCATCCGCCGCGCCCAACCCTCCGAGGCCGCCCTTCTCACCGACCTCGCCCTCGCCGCCAAAGCCTACTGGGGCTATTCTCCCGCCTTTCTCGCCTCTGCCCGCTCCGAGCTCACCATTACCGCCGCCGACATTTCCCACCACGAGGTTCACGTCGCCACGCTGCCCCTCAACAACGACCGCAGCATCGGCAGCGAAGAGGAAGAAGTCGTCGGCGTGTACCGTCTCACGCCACTGCAGCATGACCATGACCAGCGCTGCGACGCCGAGCTCAGCTACCTATGGATTCGCCCGCTGCGCATCCGGCAGGGACTGGGCCGCCTGTTGTGGCAGCACGCGGTGCGGCGTGCGGCGGCGCTCGGGCTGGCGCGCTTCTCCCTGGACGCTGACCCCCATGCGGAAGCATTCTACGTCAAGATGGGCGCGGACAGGTGTGAGGAGGACGCGCCGAGCAAGAGCGTGCCGGGGAGGACGCTGCCGCGGTTCGAGGTGGATGTGCAGCGAGCCCTGACGGCGATGAAGGGTGAGGACGAGGCTTGGATAGAAAGAAACGAGGGCCAATAATGCGGTGGACGATGGGTAACAGAGTCGCAGCAGTATAGGCATATTGCGGCATGGGACTGTATAAATGGCAAACTTAATTCGTCATCAAGGTTTAAAGTGACTGATAAACTCCATAATCTTCTAAAAGCTGGGCGCAACGGAAGTCGCGAAGCGTCATGATGTGCACAAAATTAACAAGTCCTTTCAAGACGAGATTTCAAAACTGACCTGCAAACACTCAAAACATGCTCGATATAAATGCAGAATCTACTCTATCCTCTTGACGTATTGGCCGCCGCAGAACTCTGCGCCGCTGCCGGCCTCGATCTCCGCCGCACAGGATACACGTCGTTGAAATTCATAGCCACACCCAAGAACCGCATCTCCACGTCCGGCTGATACGCCAGGTCGCCGAGCAGCGTGCTCATGCGCAGGCCAAACGACCGGCCCAGATGCCGCAGGCGGTCCTGCAGTACGGGAAACTCAGACGCCACGGCCTCGTCATGCATGGACATGACCACATCCTCTGCTGCCCGACCACCACGCCCGCGACTGCGCACGCCGGCCTCCTGACGCCGCGTAAAGTCCGACACGCTCCAGCTGTACAGACCGTCGACCGAGTCGCGGTACTCGAGCATCAAGCGCAGCATGCTTGATAGTTGTGATAGGTACGAAGTGCGCTCATCCTCCTCGGCACCAGACGACGCAGGATGACGCTTCTTCGGCCCCAAAAGACCCTTGTGCGTGATATCATCCATGTACTTGCCGTGGGCTTTAATGAGGTCATCCAAGGTGCAGTCCTCTTTGCGTATGCGCTTCTGCAGTTCGCCCCACGATGACTCGATAACCTCGAATAGAATATAGTACTGCAGCTGGCCAACAAAATGAATCATTTCGGCGAGAGCGGCACGGGTCGTCTTCCACGTTTGCGCAATTTCCGGATCCGGGTTTTGCAAGACACCTCGGGATCCGGTCATACACCGTCTCCATGTAGAAAGCAGTGCAAACTCGACGCGCTTGATTCTCCAAAGAAAGTTGAAAACCTTCAAGTATTGTCTGTTGCCCCATTCCGTCACAACCACATCCACCGGTGCATCAATCTTGTACTCTAGTGTAAAGCAATCCCAGCCAATGTCGCCATGCGAAAGTAGGAGCATGCGAGCATCGAGCCGGCGAAGCACTTCCGGTGAATCAAACTGCGCATTCGAGCCGCGGATAGCGTGCTCAAGCTGTGCCGTAAGAGTGTGGCGGAACTGCGCACCGGCTGGCCTGTCCAAATTGCCAGCTAGGGACTCCATCAGCAGGGCAATAAAGTCTCCTTGACCGAGCAAGATGTAGTTTTTTAAAGCTTCAAGGTGGTCGAAAAGTTGAAACTTGTTGGCCATGAGATCCATGAGTCGCTTCATGGTTGTTTTGTAGGCTTCGTCAATCCACGCTTCGATAGTCGCTGTGTCGCCGTAGCGCAGCTCTTTCGACGCTGCTTTTGAATAGTTTTGTACCCAAAGGGCATCGCCGCAACTGTGCCGAATAAAGTTGAGCGACTTTCCAATCAAGAACACCTTTTGTGCAAAGTCTGGTGTCATGATACTGGGAATCATGTCTTCAGTGACTTCATACTTATCTTCCCACACATTCTTCCCTCCTTTGGGCTTTGACGGGTCATATTGGACAGCCTGCTCTCGCACAAAAAATTCTTGATACGGGTCGGAGAGCTCGCCATCGTATATCCAATGTCGTAGAATATCGTAGAAAGGTCGAGTACAAGTACCCAGCAGTCGTTCAGCGAACGTCGATACAATGGGGTCCCCATGATTCGCTGCGAATTTATGAATCAAGGATATTATTTGGCCACCGCGCTTGCTTTCAGACTCTTCTGCCACAAGACTCATGAGTCGCAGGCCCATTGTGGCCTCTCTCGTCCACATTACACACCGTTTGAGTGTGATACCGGCCTTGCCAATCCCACCACGAGGCGCGCCCTCCACCACCGACGCCAGCGCACGGCGGATTTGAGCCTCCAGCGTCGCAATGAGAGCCAAATATGCTCGCAGCTCCCCACCAATACCGGAGCGCAAGCTCTGACCCATCAGACCGTTGGCAGGGGTTTTGCAAAATGCGTCCAGTTGCCGATAGAGAAGCGACGGTTCGGCCAGTGCATGTAAGATTGACACCAGGGGCAAAGGGAGGGTAGCAGGTAATGTTAGTGTGTCTGGCCCGGCGAATGGCAGTGTAGTCGATGAAAGTCCCTGGAGAGTGAATGGAAGATCTCGCAACAGATCCGTTTCTGGTGGGCTAAGGTCGGAATAACCGGTCCCCTGAAGTGTCTCCTGCAATGAAGCATCTCTCCTTGTGCCATCTCCCTGTCTTGTGTCCGCAGATGAAGCCGCTCGAGAGCCATCCGGCGCAAACGATTCTCTGAATTGAACGTCTTCATATTTTGAAGGAGTGACTGGCGTTTTGGCTCGTTCTCTTTCCCGTCGCTTCGTAGCTTCGCGGCTGATGGTCTCTCGGTAGTTGGAGGCAGATGGCTTCACGGGGCTGAGTGGAAGAGGCTCTGATGGATCTGGGGAATCGGAAAGGTGATAGAGAAGATGCAAGATGGCCCATTTGTGCTCGAGAACCGGTACTGCAAGAAGTCGTGAATATAAATTCGAGAACCGGAGGGCTTGGCTGGGGTTCGTTTGTATGAGTTTGCGCTTGATCAGATCGGACGCGTGGTTCACGTCTGAGGATACGGTGACATTGGCATGACTACAAAGGTTAGATGATACCTGGAAGAAAAAAGAAGAAAATCCATACTTTAATATTATCGACTTGACAAGCGCAAACTGTCTGTCGTGTTGCTCCTGTGCTTGGTCTTCAGAGTCGTTTGGGTTGTCTGGGACAAGATGGTTTATTAGGCCGTCGATAGCGCTGGCTATTTTATCGGAGGCCATGTTTGCATTGCGGGCTTTACGAATGCTGCCTCTTGACAAATCGAATCTCAATTTCTTGCACTGGCGCGTATAATAGTGCGCGGCAAAGACGATTCATGGCCGGCTTGCTGAGTTGCCGTTTATTGACGAGACGCGACGCTGGCACGCGCTCTGGCGGGGGAAGGTGGGATGTATGGAGACTCATGGGGAAGTACTCGGTACAGAATTTACACAAGCAAACAGCCGCTAGATCGAGTATAGCTACATCATTGTCAGTGCCCTCCCTGCGCCGGCTCGTCTCTCAGCAGGATTTCGACTTCACTCCGCTCACTGAGAACTCCCCTACGTCCTCGCCATACAAGTCGTCATCACCAACCCAACCTCGCAATGCCCTGGCCATCAAATTGATCCCAGAATCGGAATCGCATGACCTAGAGAATTCGTTTTATGCATCTCATGAATTCTCCTGCGCGCTGCGCGTCGCCTCTTCGCCGCACGCGACTCCGCCGATAAATTCCCCGAGATCACAATGCCCGACATCGATCCCGCGGCTTTGAGCCGCCCAGTCATCAATGTCTCGACCCCTCTCTTATCAACTAAATCAATATCCAGCCTCGGAGGCACGATTAAGGCCAAGTCGAGTCAAATTCCGGGGCGAATCGACCTTGAACCCCTCTATACAGAACTGAAAGCAGCGATCGGGCCGGAGCAATGGCAAATATACAAAGAAGCGACAACAGAATTCTTCATCGGTACATCTCATCGCGCTCTTCTTGAGTTTCACTTTCTCTGACACTCAATGCAGGTAGTCTTAACCAGAACGAATATTCGGAACGAATCGAACCGATTCTCGCCGGGCCCAATGGGGAGAAGGAGCATCTACATAACCAACTCATCGCCGCCATATATGGCAATGTCACAAGGGAGATCCCCGATCAAGGGCTAGCACCTTGGGTCAGCTCTAATGACAAACCGACTGCCAGCGCCAGTAAGGCGGCTACCGGCGATGCGACAGAGCGTCGGTTAAAGGGCGATGTGATGCAGTTACCCGCCCGAGATAGACGGCGCATCAAGGACTTGACACACAACGATGTTCGTATTCTCAGCGATTGTGGAGACTCTTGTATCTTTTTTGCTAATGTTGTTGCCAGTTTGATATCAACGAAAACCTCTCGAGCGTCTTTACGGAATCCCGGCGCAAGACGACCCAAGATGCATCCTCCAGTGCTGGTGGTGGTATCAACAATATGAGTATGGCAAGGATCCAAGTATTCTAGATGTATTCTAACAGTCCAACAGACATCGACTTGGAGATTCGAAAACGATTTGCGCAACCGCTGGCCATCGAGTCTGGCGAGTTCCCCGACGTTGGCCTTATCACGGGTCGCATGCTTCCATTCTGCTACGAGGCGGGTCTTCCGAGCGGCCACGTTGCAGAGGCGCCTCAACTAATGTCAATCGCTACTGATGCATTTATCAAAGAGATGCTCACCCAGGTGTTTGCTCGTACACGAAGCAACGGGGCCGGAGACTCGGGAAGCGCCGGCTACGGAATAGGCACGCAATGGATACAAACACACAAATACAAACGCCAATTGCATCTTGAAGAGGACGCTGCTGTTCGTGGAGAGATTTCGCGCGACAAAGCTGGTCTTTTGCCCGTGGAAGCGCGTGCCGCAGGGGAACAAGGCCCGTTGGCAATGGCAGACGTGCGGGTCTCTTTGGAGATTGCTGACTCGAGCATGTCGCAATTTCCCGTGCTCACGCGTCAAATATTGTGTGGATATCGCGAAGGTGAGCTGGAGAATTGGAACGATCATACGTGGGCCGAGAACTACAAACCAGGCCCTGTAGAGGAGCTTACGAACGGTTACGACTTGATTACTCTCCACAACGGCCTAGATCCCATGGATATCGACACAGAAATGGGCTGGGAAGGCGCAGAAGATAGTGACACGGACATGTTGGATTGCATGCTCGACTCATGTCTAGCCGTTGGGTCATAGGTTGGTGTGGCGTCAACAACCGACGCACAAGTGGAGAGAGAGAAGACCGAATACTTGTTTGCGGAAGGAGAGCCTGTCAATGCCGATCGGAGGCCTGGGCCTGAGATGGGGGAAGAAGCTGATGGTGTAGATGAAGAAGGCGCCACGAGGCGATCGACGAGCGGACACAGCAGAATGGTCCAGGCTGTCCTCGGGCGTTTGAGAAAGCGAGGCGGAAACAGAGTGTCGAATAGACGCGGAAACAACACCAAGTCAACTTTGAAGCGCAAGAGAGAAATGAGGGTGAAGAAACCTCGAGAGGCGAAAAGAGCACCGCAAAGGGGAATTCAAAGAAAGATTGGAATGGAGGATTGAAGCATGTGGATATATATTTTTTTGGCGTTTACTTTCGGCAGCTATCATTTTTTGGCGCCTGGTCTCGGGTCATAGGAAGGGAGGAATATCTGGCTGTACATCTGCATTGGGCCTGCATGGCATGTGCAGGCTATCTGGTCTTGGCGCGCTGACCTGACCACAAATGGCGTGTACTTGTTTTCTTTTGTTGAGGCGGACACTTGGGGTTGAATTTGTGTATAGTTGGAATGTGGAAAGGATGGGCAGGAAGACGAGAAAGGGCGTTTTTGTGGTATTGGATTTTCTGGAGCAAACAGGGGGAGGCTCAGTCTAATTGGATGTCTTTACTGCTTCGAGGTTTTGGACTTTTTTGTATTTCTATACAGAGTAGTGATACCCTCAGGGTTATGGTACATTGTAGTCATTGAATAACATGGTATGCGCAGATGATATGGTGGTGAGCCTGTGTAGCGTATGGGTGGGGTATGGTGTCAGTTGCATGTTTAAAGCGTCAGTATTTAACAAGAAGATAGCAGAGAAGGACACTAGAAGCCGAACTTCGTTCTATTAGGGCCAGCTAGCGACGTGGATAACTAGACAGTATTAACGGCTAATGACGGAACAAGAGAAGGGTCGCATGTGGTGGGATAGCGATGGTGGTGGTGACGAGGACAAAATAGGTACTAGCCAATCCCGGAAGAGACAGGGTTTGAGAGCTGGAGGGCCGATTCAGGCGGGCGCCACAAGAGACTGCTGGTAGAGGCGAAGTATCTGTACGGTGTGGCTAATCTCGGGTCGTAGAGGGGAGCCGCGAGCAATAAAGTGCGGATAGTTCGTTGCCCTCTTAAGTGACATGCAGTAAGTACTATCAATGGACAGCGAGGCCATGATAAAACCATCAAATACATTGCGCTACCAAGTCCTTCGAGATGTAGATGTAGAGCTGCGGCTGTGTGTACCTACCGAGTACGGAGGAGACGGTCGCTGCAGGGCCCATGCTGCTTCTGTCGAACTGGGCGCAACGGGCCAATGACGGTGCCGCCAGCCGGTGACGGAAGTGCCGCAGAGTGGCTCGTGCGCGATTCTAGAAAGCTTCTACTCATCTGCCTTTTTAGCCCCGACTTTTGTTGACCGACGGTAGCTGTCGGTCAAACAAGTCACGTATCCAGGCTCTTGGGAAATAATTTTGACGCGATATTTACATGTAGTCATTTATAACCCTCCTTGCAGCCGTTCGTGAATTTCTCTCCGTTTCAAAAGTTGTTTAGCCTCTGATTTCCTCGTCCAGCTCCAAGTTCTACCTGCCTTCCCTTGAGGAGCATTGACCACCCCTCCCCGCTGTTGCCGCTGGTCCCATCTCCGTCATTTGGCCAAGTCTTGAACTGGTTACCTACCCAGGTACCTGCCTACCTACGCATTCAACGTTACCAAGGCGGGTATCTCTCTGCTTGTCGCTACAAGCTCTTGTTCCCATTTCCGTACCCTTATACGACCACTTTGCCCCCCCAAAAACCGCCCCATTGTAGCTTCACAGCATCCAACTTTCAACCTTCCAACTTTGCATCACATCCTCTCCGCAAACTCTTCTGCCTCCCGTTGCTGTTCCCTTCCCGGCTGTCATTGTCTTTTTGTCTTGCGTCAACCGCTAGCCTCTGCGGTCCCTCGTATCGGCCTTCTAATTTCTACCTCTTCTATCAATCTCTTTTTTTTATTCAGCTTAGGGGTCACTCAACAGAGGTACCCCTCTTCCGGTCCAGCTTTGCCACCTCGCCGCGCTTCTAGGGAATTTTACATATTCTGCCTTTTGCATCTCGGAGTGTGGTCTCGATTTCTTCTTTGCAGTATCACTCCATCAAATTGCCTGTCGCCGCGCAAGGTTTCCTGTAAGTGTCTCTCTTCCTCGTTATGACCCCGCACTTTTGGCCCTCGACAGCTCCCCATGTGCTTCCCGTCAACAGCTTGCCAAATAAAAAGCAATGGGTTACGCAATCTGGCTCTTTCTCCCCTTTCAATCGAGTTCAACTGCTGCGCACCAGATGCTACCGTTTTCCACATTGATGGATGGTCGCTTCAGAGATCAGCTTGCCAGCGCCCGTCACATCCCCACATCGGTAAACAAGCTCGATGAACAAACAGATGCGGGATTACATGCCACCGACACCGACATCTGCCCGAAGCTTGAATTCTCTGATCCTGATCAACACCCCCGATTCGGAGCATTCACCCCGCAATGACATCGAATGGCGGGCAGCAATTCCCTCATTTGAATCCCTAGACTTGCCGCATTAAACTCACGTCGTGCCTTGACACCAACACACGATTGAATGCTAACCCACTCAACCATAGAGTCGATTCATTGCCACCACCATCAATTACTACCGACAGCTGCGATCCAGCCTACCTCTTCGCGAACGCCCCGTACACACCGTTCCACATAAGCCAGCCATGTCCGGTCCTTTTACGAGCCCTTTTGGCGCCAATACGAATCCTTTCGGCAGCGATCGATCCCAAAACGATGCCATGCATCGGGTCATCGAGGAAGAGGAGCAAGATACTGTCCCTTCCCCTACAGATAGTCCCTTTGCCCCTGGAGCCACTGCCGGCTTTTCCAACGTCTTCGGCGGTGACGCCTCGGGGGAGACGCCTCCCACTGTTCGGTCACCGCCCAACCCAGATAGCTATCCGGCTCAATACAACTTTAACAGAAGAACTTCTGTGTCAGCTGAATCGCTCAAGCCCAGCGCCGACACATACGATAACTGGTCCCCGCCTTTTCACGAAAAGACACCGGATCAGATCAGCCGTTTAAAGCGCGCCATTGAGGGAAACTTCCTCTTCAGCCATCTAGACGATGAGCAGAGCAGCCAGATTCTTGGTGCTCTCGTGGAAAAACCGATTCCCGTCAAGGACATCAAGGTATTCAGCAGTGCTACGATCCATGTACAGCGCAATAATGCTAACGATTCCCAGGTTATTAGTCAAGGTGATGCTGGTGACTATTTCTACGTGGTCGAAAAGGGCTCTTTCGATGTCTATGTCAATTCGACAGGTACCATCGGACCGGGACCCGAGGGCATGGGCAGCAAGGTTGGCAATATCGAGGCTGGTGGCTCCTTTGGTGAGCTTGCCCTCATGTATAATGCTCCTCGCGCGGCAACTATCGTTTCCGCCGAAGCAAACTGCACCTTATGGGCCCTCGATCGTGTCACATTTCGCAGAATCCTGATGGAATCTACTTTTGCCCGCCGACGCATGTATGAGAGCTTCCTCGAGGAGGTTCCCCTGCTTTCTTCGCTCACTCCTTATGAGCGATCCAAAATCGCCGATGCTCTTGAGACTCAAAAGTTTGCTCCTGGTGCTGTCATTATCAAAGAGGGCGATCCTGGGTACTCCTTCTATCTCTTGGAAGACGGTACCGCTGATGCATACAAGGGCGATATCAACAACAAGGTGCTGCAATACAAAAAGGGCGATTTCTTTGGCGAGCTGGCTCTGCTAAATGATGCCCCTCGAGCCGCTAGTGTTGTTGCCACGACGGATGTCAAAGTAGCGACCCTTGGCAAGAATGCCTTTCAGCGCCTCCTCGGTCCTGTGGAAGGCATTTTGCGCCGCACGAAGTATCAGGGAGTCAAGGCTGGCGTTGAGGAGATGGACCCTCTGCACTGTGACTAAACCTAGGTCAATGCGGAAAATCGGGGTAACTGCCATGGGCAACACGCAGCTGGATGGTGGCTTGAATTTGTTTCCGCACATGCTCAACGTGATGCTTTGATGCAATTTTCTCGGGTGACGATGCAAAATTCCTTGTGGCTGGCGTTTGAAATGGAATTAGTGGACTGATTAGTGCGGAAAGCTGAAAGCTGGGTCTTTCCTGAAGGATATGATTACTCTGCAGATACCTTTGTTATTATTATAGCTGTCATGAGCATCATTTATTACAAGACAAAATTACGCCACTCATCTGCATATTGATGCATGCTGTTGTGTCATGATATCGTCGTAGCACTGCAAATTGAAGGCCGCAGGCAAGAACGCCTGGCTTGGTGTTCGGTAGCTGCCATATTGATGTATCAAAGAAACTGAAAACAACGTAAAACGCCATATACAACGCCATTGGCTCGAGCGAGTAGACGCTTTTCTTTTGGAGCAGGCCACTCCCCCAAAAACACATGTAACCATTAATGCCTGTTGGTTTCCCTGAACGGAGAGTCCATCATTTGGAGTCTTGAGACGCTTCATTCCTGCGGTCGGTTCTGCTTCCTCAACTCGTCCCGGATCTGCTGCCTTAATTCCTCGACGGCAACCTCCGTCTCGAGCACCTTGCCGACCCTCGTACGCCACGTCTCCTCAAGGCCCTGCATTTCCGCCTTGACATCATTCTGCCTCGTCGCGCGCGCCGCGTTGACAAGGTCCATCTCGCGTCGCGTGGCCGCGAGCTCCGCCTCGAGGCTCCTCAGCTCCGCCTCGACGTGGTAATTGCCGAGAAGCCAGGCGTTACGGCCGGCGCGGTCAAGGAGCTTTAGGTTCTGGTTGCGCGCGGCGAGGTACGACGCCGAGACGAGGGCGCGCTCGAGGGGCTGGCGCTGGTCGGCGGCGGAGGAGGAGGCGGGGAGCGGCTCGGGGGCCTCGTAGCGCGCGAGGTCGAGGGGTGCGAGCGGGGTCTTTGAGGCGACGCGCTCGAGCTCGGTGGTCATGAGCGGTGAGAATGAGGAGGAGATTGAGGGCGGGGGAGATGGGGAGGCAGCGGCGGCGAGTTCGGCGGAGATGAGAGCGCGCGCAGCGGCGAGGGCAGAAGCGGAGGCCTCGTCGTCAATGTCTGGGAGAGAACAAGTTAGTGGGTGGCTAGAGAGAAGAGAGGGGAGGGGGGGAAGGGCTGCCCAGGACAGATGAACGTACAGGGGAGAGACTCGTGGTAGGCGGGTATTGACATTTTTGAGAAGTTGTGCTGCGACGCTTTCGCGGCGCTGTGTCGAGGAACGGGGATTGCCGAAGATACAATGCGGCTGCGTTGAGTTGTTGAAAGACGCGGACTCTTGAGGATTCGAGTGGTGAATAGGAGGCGGATTGATACGTGTGGAGATTGACACTGCGTGGTTGTATGCGAGATGCGAAATGTGTAAATGCAGTTGCAACAGAGCATTGGAGGAATGGCGGTTGGGCCAAAAAGGTTTGCGACTGGAGAGGTCAGCGCACGGACCATATGGCAGCTTCCCGTCTTGGCAGAGCTACGGATTACACGTTCTTGCACTTATACGGACAAATTGAAAAGAAAAAGAAAATGAGAAAAAGTGCAGATCAGCTGATATTCATTTGTATGTTTGTCATGTGGCAGGAGATGCAGTATTGGCTCTCGGCTCTTGTGCATTGTTGAACGTTGAATTCTTCACAGCTCACTTATTGACAATTAGAGGATGGGCATCAATTTGATATTTACTATTTGGTTCCATTGTTCCTTGACAAGTTTTCTGACAAATGTTCTATCATCTGATTCGTAGCTTCTCGTCAACTATGAAAAATGCCTAAGCAGGTTCCTTTCAAGTCTCGTAATTTACAGACCACCAGCCTTGCAGACGTTGGTGGCAAGGCCGACCTGCTTGGCGTAGCGGTCGGGGTAAGCCGAGCGCTGGACCTTTTGGCAGAGGGTGCCGACGGCTATTTTCTGCCACCCATTGATCCTCTTCATCTCGGCGAAGAACTGGCCGGCAGAGCAGGCGGCGTCCATGTCACACTTTACATTCTTATAGATGGAGGCGCGTTGCTGGAAGAGGCCGACTGAGTCGTGATCGGAGCCGACGCGGTCGTGCGGGTACTTTAGGGACGCGGGGACGGCCTTGTTGGCGTACATGACGAGGGTTGACTGGAGAGGCGCGTGTATTAGTCTATAGATGCCCTCCCAACTTTGGCTCTGCTGCAGCACAACGCTGGCAAGACGCATACCTCAACCATGGCAGTCGCGATGCCGGCTTGGCAGCCGTGCGCGCCGACGCCGTCCTTTTTGGCCTGTGCGATGATGGCGTTGGCGTACTTGGTCTGCAGGGCGTTGAGGCCGGGCAGGTTGGCGCGGGCCTCGACGTCGGCGACGGCCTCCTCAGTGGGGAGGGCGTAGGCGGCCGAGGTGCCGAGGGCAAAGTAGGCAAGGATCTGAGAAAACTTCATATTTGAGGTGATTGAGATATGTAAAAGAGGGATTCGAAGTGTTGATATTGTGTTGATGAGTTGTTTAGCAAGCAGAAATGGGAAGATGCCGGGGCTTTATATATCTGGAGCTGAGTACCCCAAATAAGCGCAGAGGTAGACGTCGGACCTGATTATCAGGCCCTTGACCAACTAACTACATTCCGTTTTGCAGAATAGGGCAAGGATCGCGCAGGCTGAAAGTCGGCAGGCAACGCAGCGAGGGGCGTGCACGAGAAGCATCATCCGTCGATGCGAAACCCAAGCTGACTGTGAGCCCGTGGCGCCACATCCACACCCCCCCAGTCGTCGACAGACCGAGAGCCAGATGAGCTGGGATCGAGACGAAAAGAAGCCCACATTCGACAGGGCTGATTTGGTAGGGTGATATCTGGGGGTGCAGCTAGTCCGAGTGCCGCTTTGACTGATGAGGCAGTTGCATCGGCCACCTGGTAATATTGATGCAGCATACTCCCCAAGTCAAAAGTACCCTTTCGTTCTACTGAAATTTCTATGCTTTAGTCACAACTTGTAACTGAGTCCTTGGATCGTCGACAGGCAAGGTTGAATTGCGACCGGGGCGCTTTGGTGTCGGATCTTCGGGCCCCCACCACAGCTGGACTTGTAGTTGTCTCTCGCAAGCAAGAGGCTAGCATTTGAGTTGAAACAGGCTGGACGGACTCGAGGTAAGACGGGACAATGAGTTGTCAGATTGTGAAAGAAAGACAAAACACCGAGCTTGCGAGCCAAGAGCCTCGCGGGAAAGGGGATTAGAAACACCATCTTGTCTCATTGACCAATTCGGTACGAGACAACGGGCAGCTAGCCATGGACCTAACTATGGTAAAGGGCTAGAACAGGTACGGCACGGCCTGCTTACAGCAACATTGTCTGGAAAATACATGTGGAGAGACTTTTCAGCTTTTCGACTTGGCCTATGATATAGATGTACTGCGCAGCTCAATGCAACTTTTGACTAATACCAGTCAATTGTTCGCAGAACATGAGTTGCAGCGACAAGGCACCATTGTTAGACTATTGATTCTACAGGACTCGGGCGGCGCTGGCTCGATAGGTGCTCTCCTGCATCTCCAAGAACCCAGGTGGTGCATTGCAGGCCGCTTATTCGCTAACCCGCTTTGCAGAGAAGCTTCTTTCTTTGGGGTTCCAGAACAAGTTACCATGTGACGTCAAGCGAGTTGCATGTTCCTTTCAGCTTCTTACTCTTGAATGGGGCCCTACCACGGATTTTCATGCATCGAGCCCATCTCTCCTCCACAACAAAGGTCGGTTCTGCCGGCTGACACGGCAGTGCAAGGAACCAGGGAAACCTGGGGCTGTCATTAGGGTAGTTCGTCTAGTTCACTACTAGCGATGGGCAATCCTGCCATGCCAAAAACGGCCAAGGAGACCGCGGTGATTGCCCAAATCTTTTGCTGCAGGGGAACGGACCCCTATCATCTTCATTCATCTGCCTTGGCTCGGCAGAGGTGGCCACCCGCATCTTGGCTAAACTGGGCGTAGATCTGAGATATTATAACCGTCATTATAGCGTTCAAGGTCCCGCTGCTGCATGATTTCTTTCACGTAATGATATTGACCCAGCTCATAATAACTATCTTCACCACTGCCGCCGTCGCTCCCTTTTTACTGCCGGTGTCATTCTTTGCTCGGATTGCAGGACAAGGAAAACTTAAAAAGAAGAAAAAAAAAGGTGCACAACAGGACGTCCATAAAAAGACAAGGCGGCGCGGAACTTCTTTATAACCCGCTCTCCAAGTCCATACCCAAAAATTGCTTGCCCGGAACTTTTTGCTTCCAATTTTGTTGTTGCAAGCAGAAGAGACAAGTTCGCAAAGCTTTCCCAGTTCTTTTTCCTGGGCGCTGAACGGTCAAGTCGGGCCTTTGCAGGCCCTGTCTGATCAGCAACAGACCAACCACTGGAAATGTGTAAAAAACAGTGAGATCGGGTTGAAGTTGTGCCGATTCTGCCATGAGGATTGACTAAAATCATTGTTTCATACCCCTCCATGACCACATGTTGCACGCCTTCAACACCATCATCATGCCCCTCGTCCGTTGACGTAGACATAAAAAAAAAAAAATAGCGCCGATCCTGCGGATTCACTTCACCGAGGCGGTGCATGACTTTGCGACCGTTACGGATGGATACATGTTCCCCTTCCCCCTTTCAGCTACTTGGGGCTGACAGGAAGTGCGGTGCCTTGCGTCAAAGGCTGTGCTAATCATCATGCCAAGCCATGGCGGGCTGGGCGTTCACGGCTGGCCGCGGCGATGTGCCGATCATGGCAACAAGCAGCCCTGAAGTCCGTATTCGTCGAAAGAACTGTTTTCCCTGTTTTTTCCTTCTTAAAAAACTGTGTGAAGAGAAGAGTTGCAGTCTGACTAGACACCAGGCTCTGCGTGTTTCCACGAGGTATGTTACTAATTAAGACAGCCCCAAAGAAGGTTGCCCGATATCATATACACACTCCCAACAGTATAGAAGGGCTGTCGATCGTAAGCCTGGCGTCAACGCACGAAAATCGTCAACACGGCTGCTGTCGTAGTTGGAGGGTCCTGTCATCAAGTGGCCTGCGAATCAGCCGTTTCGTGCTCGCAAAAAATTACAGAGGAGACAAGGAGTCAAGCCTCTGTATACTTAACGGAGTACTGAGGGGACCTCACTCTGTCAATAACCATCCTGCGCGGTGGTACCGTAGTGGGTTACAGAATCTCGAATTGTAGTGCTTTAGTGGCGGGTGAGTGTTGTATAATCTTGCCTGATGACGCGCAAAAAATGGCTTTTTGATTACTTCTTTCTTCTGTTTCTCGCTCATTGATTCAACCATGTGGCTCTCAACCCTAACATGTGGGCTTGGTAAATAGTATCTAGGCGCGTAAGATGCATATTTCCCCTGGCATTACAGCTTTACAGCATCCTTAATCTCAATCGTAACCTTGCCGCCCTCGGACCCGACCACGCGCACCGACGTCAGGTCCTTGACGACCCAATCCGGCTCCGCGGCCACAACCTGCTCAGCCGTGTGGCTTGTGACGAGGCCAATTACCTTGCAGCCGGCCGCCTTGCCGGCCTTGATGCCTGCGGGGCTGTCCTCGAGGACGAGCACGTCGGCGGCGGCGTCGGCCAGCCGCAGCTTGTCGAGGCCCATGCGGTAGCACGCGGGATCCGGCTTGCCCTCGGGGACGGACTCGGCGGTGACGAGGTGCTCGGGCTCGGCGAGCTTCATGCGGCTCAGCCACCCGTGGACGAGCGGCTCGGTGCCGGACGTGACAATGGCCCACGGCGCGCCAATTTTGATCATGCTGTCGAGGAGCTGGCGCGCGCCGGGGATCTCGGTGGCGAGATGGTGGTAGAGAACTGGGAGCTGGCTCTCTACCTTGCTGACATCTAGAGGCGGATTGTTGTGAGCTGACTTTGTCTGAACATGAAAGCATATGTTGGGAAAGGCGGTCAAGGAACAATGAGAGCTTGAATATACGTACATTCCCAATTTGCTCTTTCCGGTGCAAGTATTTTAAGCGTGTCAATGCTGCGCCGACCGTGAGAGGTCTTGAGGATAGTCTCGGGATCAACACCAATCTCATTTCCTATCCTGCAGAGCGTGTTAGCCTAGTCCCGAGTACGCCGGGGGGGCAGGAAGCAGACGGATCAAGGGCACAACGTACGTGTACCAGTGCTTCTCAATGGCTGGAGTGGAGTCAATGATGGTGCCGTCCATATCCCAGAGGAAGCCTGCAAAGGAAGCCTGCACAGGCGGTTGGTTGTAGTCTGGTTGAGAACCCATATTGATGCGTTGAGCAAGGCTTTTCATGTAGCAGTTACGCAGTTGAAAGGGTGGGAAATGGAGCGATACAAAGTCCGTGGTCTAATTCTGATATTATGCGGAATGCACGGAAGGGGTGAAGAAAAGAATTAGATGATGAACAGAATCGAACAAGTATTTATCGAGTGAGTATCGTGTTTCGCTAGCCGGTCCGAGTCGTTGAAGTGTGAGGCTGCTGAACTACTCCACTGGGCAGCTCCGCGACGAAACAATGCCGGGGCTTCCACAGAGGGTTAGGCCGCCTTTTTTGACACCAGTGAAGAAGCAGAGGCAGTCCGGTGCTCAGCCACAATGTCGACCTGTCGTCAACACCACCAACCTCTGCATTTACATCACAGCTTGCTCTTCTTTATCCGTTTCGCCGGCGGGCTAGACTCGACACTCGTCGCATCGGGCTCAGCCGAGAGCACGTTGTGAATCTGGCGCGCCCACACGGGCTATCCCCGCCCACCTCAAGGTTAATTAGGATGCTAGGTTTGGCTCAGAAAACGCAAGACTTCTTCCCGAGACGTGTTACGAGACGGATTTCGAGGCAAGGACTGCTGTCGACCGCCGAAGTGTCCTAGGGCTCACCTGTCACTGCAGAGCTTGGTTTTCCGACAAATCCTTTTCGGCAGTGCAGCGATCTACGGCGGCGGCTAGTGCGTGGGCTATCTTACCTCATTCAAGGCGTCGACCTTGACGGCAAGAAACACATCCACGGACGGCCATTCATTGTCGACCGACAGCTGAAGGAGGCATCATAGCCTCGCAAACGACCGTTGTCGTCGCTCTTCATTTATTATTTCTTGACAATGGCGCTGTTGGCATCTGAGGGGCTGCTGGACTAGTTCAAGTTGGATAGCTCGATGTTATGCGTACGGCGTCTGGCGACCTTGATTCAAAGTCCGACCAACGCCGCGACGGCCGGCCTGTACGGCAAATCGAACCATTCGACTATGTGCTCCGATGGTCCACGTAGAGGCGAGATGATCTCTAAGCTCGCATAGGGTTTCTAATCATTTTGTTGCGAAACTCAAATTTGCTCTGCTATTTCTCTAGGTCCCGTAGTATTTATGTTTCGACAATTTCCTCCTCGATCTTATGACATGGATCATTTCAAGTTACGTGTCCGTCGATGTACAGAAGCACAATTAAGCAAGACATGCCTTGCTGACTGGCCAGCCTCCCAACTCCTACGTGCTTCGACGCCTAGTAAACTGATACTGGAATGCTCAGATAGATCTGGCTTGAGAAACGACAAAGAAGGGTCGAGAAATATTTAGCCAATCGGCATGGGTTTACTGGTTATGTCGAGTTGGGCATCGTTCCAGTTGTCTGTGGGAGCCTGACATCCGCAACAGTAGCAAGAACGACAGTCATAATCCCCTATTTATCACCGAGCACGAGAACGTATGAACCCTCTTCTACCAATCAATTCGACAAACGTAAAGCCTTGCACGCGGAGTCGGTGTTCCGTCTCCATGGCATAGAGAGGCGGCGATGCACCGGGTACCAGAGCCAGGTCAAGGGCGTCTACAAAAAAAAAGTACGAATAACTATAACTAATCTGTATTGAGCATCCTATGTTTCCCCACTGTAAATGCACATTACAGGGCTTGGCTTCGGCACTACGCCCGCTAGGTAGTAAAGCTGCATTACCGCAGTGGCGTTGGGATTCTATAGTCTTGAATGACCGACAACAATACATGGCACTTTGCTTTCAACCAGGACTCTGACTTTCCACAAGTCTCTTTATTAACGAAAACGAAACAAATGGGCGACGCTCGCCATCTCGAGCCCATGGGTTCTGAATTTAGTCAAGAGGAATTTACAATTCTTGTCACGGGCTTTGGCGTACGTCTTCCTCTCTGCTTCTTCCCTCTGACCTCATCGCCGTCGTCACTGTCACCCCGCCTTGTGCCCTTTTCCCTACCCGTCCGTGTCTTGTGTAAATAGCCCCCGGCGACCGATGTGGGAAACTGAACATGAAGCGCCGACTAAGAAACAATTCTTGATCACACCCAACAGTCCGAAAAAAAAAAACGCCACTAACAGGGGAATTTTCTTCTTCTTTTTTTTTGTGATAGCCTTTCCGCGTCCAATATCCCGTCAACCCATCATGGGAGATTGCTCGCGGCCTGCCCGCCTACCTGCCGCCTCTGCGCGCCAAGGACCCCCGCGCCCGATCATCATCCAGCGCCGAAGCGACCGCCGCCGCCGGTGCCGACATGCCGCGCGTGCGCATTCTCGTGCATCCAGAGGCCATTCGCGTCACCTACAAAACCGTGCGCGGGCTGGTGCCGTCCTTTTGGGACGACGCCGCCACCCAGCACGGCGGCCAGCGCATTGACGCCTGCGTCCACATTGGCATGGCCAGCGCCCGCCCGCAGTACGCGCTGGAGCGGCGTGCGCACCGCACCGGCTACCTCAAGCCCGACGTCGCCGGCGAGTTCCTCGAGGACGAGTTGCCGGGCGGGCGCGACGGCGACTGGATCTGGAGCGGCCTGCCCGACGAGCTCGAGTCGGCGCTGGACATTCCCAACATCCATCTGCGCTGGAAGGAGCTCAGCTCGGTAAGGGGAAAAAGCGGTCCGGCGCTATTCTTTTTTTGCGAGAGAAAAGGGCTAACTCGGGAAAATCTGGCATTCTAGCCCGACATGGATTTGCGCATCTCGGACGACCCCGGGCGGTACCTCTGCGACTTTATTTACTACTCGAGCCTGGCGACGCTTCATAAGCAGCAGCGTCCCGGCAAGGTCTGCTTCCTCCACGTCCCGGCCGACGCCTCCGACGTAGCTGTAGAGCGCGGCCGCGAGCTTGCTGTCAACCTGATTCGCGCTGTTGCTGAAAGCGAATTAGCGGACAAGAGACGCGCCGCCAAATAAGCACCCCGTGCAACAGTCTACGATACTACTGGCAAAGGCAAAAGGAATGTACAAAGTGTGTGTCAAGGGATTACATGTCCGAATTTGTGTTATTAAACGAGTACACATTTTGGACCCTGGAAGGAAATACCCTGTTGTATTTAGAAGAATGCCCGAATGCTGCTACAGCGAGTTTCTTGGTTTCTTTTTTTCTTGATGCATCTTGGGTTGTTATAATGTGAAATCATGATGCAACCCAAATTCGTGCAAAATTGCGAAGCTATAATGTATAATGTATGGCAGGCTAAATCACAAGGATTGCTTGTAAAAGCCATGTCTTGCAACAACGCCGCTTGTCTCCCGGCGGAACCGGAGATTTTGCGACCGACCTCGCCGACCGAAAATGTATGGCGGCGGGTCAGCTCGCCGACTTTCTCTTCGCCACGCCGACGCATCTTTGAATAAATACCACATCATCTCTCATCAGCTCCATCGCAATTATACATAGAGAAGGCTCCTCTCCTAAAATATAAATTCCCTAAAATTACAATCAAAATGTGCAAAAAGGCAGCCTGCGACAGTTGCAGTGAGTTTTCTCCCCCCTCTGCAATTTGCTCGCCCAGGAGATTGACTCCAGCAACCCCCCGTCCCCCGGTCCATGACTGCGTCAATCCAAACTCGCTCATACTCACAAAATTGTCTCGTCTTCTCACTGGGTTTTCTAGAAAAATCAACCTGGTGGGGCTGCGGCTCTCACGTCCCCATGGTCATGGATTCCATCCCCGAGGAAGAGCGCTGCGCCTGTGACCCCAAGATTGAGCGCGACGGCAAGCAGTACCCGCCCATGGCGAAGCAGCCCTTTTGACTCGTGAGCAAGGCCGCAGACGCGGTGCTCTGGATGAGGGGCAAGAAGGCGGTATGGTCGGCCGAGGGTGTGGTGCCTGAGCCGCTGCGTTGATGAATGGGCGTTGAAGCGTGGTGGGGGCGTCGAATTGGAAGCGTTGGCGTTGAGGGAGAGATTGCGGACTTGAGAATGGAAATCTGTCAGGGTATGGGTTTTGGAGTTGGGGGGGAGCTTGAGATGAGAATTAACAGAACGTTGTGACGGCTGCGGAGTTTCAAGACGTTAGAAGGAGACATTGCGCATGCAGAAGCTTACGACAAATGAAGAAAAAAAGAGGTTGACTTTGAAAGAGATTTTGTTCTATATTGTTCTTGGCGACATCATCATCTCCTGCGACCACCACCAGCCGCACCCGCATCACCACGTTCCGCCAGGCTGACCACTTCCTGGATGCCCGCCGCCTCCTGCTCCTCCTCGAGCGCCGTAATCTCCTCGCGGCAGTCCCACCACTTCTCCTCGCTCAGCTCAAACGCCTTGGCCTTGATCTCCTTGACGGCCATGGTCTCGGGCTGGATATTCTTCCACCGCAGGTTTGTCATGAGAATCTCCTGCCACTCGGCCGATGTGCGGACAAAGAATTCGCGGCGCGACTCAAAAGGCTAAAGAGAGGGGGAAAAAGGCATGTTAGTATTAGGTAGTTGTGGCGGTATGTTCGGTTCAAACATACTCTTGGGTGAGGTAGACCGTCGTCCACAGAGGTTGCCGACGTCTCGGCGTCGTCTTCCTCCGTGTTCTCGGACGGTGCGGTCGTAGTCTCTGACACAACATCGTCTTCCTTCTTCTTGCCACGCTTGCTGGGCGTGTGGAGCTGCTGTTGAGGCTCTTCGTCTTCGTCTTCGTCATCTTCATCTTCTTCGTCTTCTTCATCGTCGTACTCATCATCCTCGTCGTCTTCGTCGTCAGATTCCTGCACAGACTTGATTAGTCCAAAACGCAGTCCAATCTCACCGCCGCGCAGTGCACTTACAACCCAGTCCTCGACAGGTCTGGTAAAGATTTCCTTGCAACCGTCCAGCTTCACCAAATCAATCGCGTACAAGTCGTCAAACGTAAACTCGCGGTCCGCCTTTTCAAACGTGCCGCCGTAAATGTACAGCACGTCGTTTTGCACCGTCAGCTGCGCGTTGAAGCGCACATGAGGCGGCTCCATCGTCACGGGCATCTCCTTGACCGAGGCCTGTTCCTCCGGCTCCTCCTCCTTCTCCAGCTCGATGCCATCGACATCCTCGAGCGACGCGCCCGTCTCCAGCGCCGCCAGCTGCCGGAGCAGCTCCTCCTCATTGGCCTGGCCACGCCCGCGCCGGTTCACGCGCTGCTCCGCTGGGCGGGCCTTTTGGTGCCGGGGCTTGCGCAGCACGAGCGGCATGAAGCGGTTGCGCTCAACGTTCCACGCAAACAGCTGGTTGAAAAACTCCGAGTCCATGCCATCCTCGCTCGCCTCAACATCGTGCACGCCGCCAAACAGAATGCCGCGGCCCTTGTGGTAGGTCATGGTGGCACCCGCGCGCGAGGGGCTCGGCGTGTTTCCGGGCTTCTTGCGCTTCTCCCACCGCACCGTCGGCGGCGTGTTGGGACTCGCGTCGGCGGCCGGCACCGTCATGCGCAGGTAGAAGCAGTCCTCGTGCACCTTTGGGACGAGAACGTTCTTCTGGCCTGTGCTGCTCGCGCCCTGGTTTCCCTTGCCCGCTTTCTTCTTCAATGCCACTGTGGCCTTGACACGCGAATAGCCGCCAAAGAGGACCGCGCCCTGCTCAGAGGGGAGCAGCGTAAAAGACGATCGCGGGTCGGGCTTGAGCTGCGCGGGCGGCAGCGCAGGGCTATGCCAGACATAGTTGATCGTGTCAAAGATCCATAGATCGGCGAGGTACTTTGTCTGGTTCGACGTGTCCTGGAAGCCGCCAAAGAGGATAATGTAGTGCTTCCAGTAGGTCATGCGGTGGCCGCTGCGCGCGGGCGGGCTCTTGTCCTTGCCCTTGACCTCAATCTTGGTCCACTCGCGCGTGGCGGGCTCCAGGCGCCAAAAGTCCGCATAATGGTGAAACGTGCCCTGCTTGGGCGAGGAGAACTCGCCGCCAAAGAGGTAGACGTGGTTGGGGTTGGACGCCCGCGTCCAGGCGTGACCGGAACGCGGCAGCGGCGCGTTGGGCGACGTCACGCAGCGCCACTCATCGCGCGCAATGTTGTAAATGTGCAAATCGTTGAAAAAGTGCGCCAGCGAGCCGTTAAAGTACTCGCCGCCAAATAGCAGCAGGTTGTTTGTGTCTGTCGGCGAGGCGAGGAGCGTCGAGGCGGCGCGGGGTCGCGGGGGCCCCTCGCACACCGTCTCGGTGATTTTGAGAAACTGCTCCTGCGCCCGGCGGTACTCCTCAAGCACCTCGTCCAGATCGACATCCTCGGCGTCGCTGCCTTCGATTTTGGCCTGCTTGCTTTTGGCTTTCTTCTCACCTTTGCTGGCCTGCTTGGCCTGCTTCTCAGCCTATTAGGTGCCCCGCATTAGACGTCACTCAAAGTGTTTTGTATCTGGGGGTTTTCTGCTTGATAATTGCTAGCATTGTACCTTTTTGGCCTTTTTGCCTTCGCTATTCTTCTTCTTGTCCTTGGCACCCATTTTGGCGGTGTTGTCACTGCCTGGAGCCGGATTCTTTATGGATGCGTAGCTTGTGGGTGATGTTGAAGATTTCAACGATCCGTCTTTACGATGAGAGGGCTTGTGGGGGGGCAATGAGCTAACTGCACCACAGCGGTCAGATTAGAGGCCATGCTGAAGAAAATATACGAATAGAATTCGTTGCTGAAAATCACACCGAGAAGTCAAAACACTGCTGACGTTTTACAAAAATGAGTCAACTGCTCGTGGTCTCTGCGATAGTGCAAGACGTTTGGCGGGAGGACGTTCGCAGCTAACGCTGGCCGATTAAACATGTCAAAATTGCTTGCAGTTGCATCAAGAGCACAAGATTGGCCTGATTAAATGTCAAGCAATAGCTCTCTGTATTGAATGAGGTTATTATAAATTATGGGTATCGGATGCGTTGCGCATTGCTCATGCCTTCTCTATCCCTCTTCCAGGTATATACGCAACCAAAGCCTTACTTGCGCCTTCTAGACACATTTGAACAATGTCAATCTTTTTATCCTTGGGGGCGAGCCGCGCCAGCTGTCTCAGATCACTCGTGCGCGGCAGAAAAAGGACGTGGTCGAGAGGCCTATACGCCTCATGCATGTCCGTTATGCTGTACGGCTGCATGTTGTCCAGGTTAAAGACCTGGTCTGTCGAGTACCCAGGTCCACCCCAAGGAGGGCTGGCAAATAAAACCGTTGCGTCAAGATCGATCCGAAGATCAGGATGCAGCGCCGATGGGTTGCTGAAAAGCGTCTTCAAGAACGCGAAGCTATCGCCGTGCACCCAGGTAACGTAGCTGTCGTCGATCCCGTAGACGCTGACGTTATTCTGCGCACATGCAAGAGTGGCTGCGTCGCGCTCAATGGATATAATTCGATCCCATCTCTCTGTCTGCGCAAACGCAATGGTGTTGCCGCCTGCGCCGCAGAAGAGATCTATCAAGAATTTCTTCTTCTTGGGAGACGATTTCATCTCCGCAGCGATTTTGCTGTTCAGTGGTCAGAAAAGAAGTTTGAGAAAAAAAAAACCGACTCACTTTGCAATTGGTTCCGGTGTGACACCGAACCAAGCGTCGTCAGTCATACAGATACCATCATCGTAGTAGGAAAATATGGAATAACGTTGTGCAAAATATCTAGAATCCGCGTGAGCAATATTAACGATAGAATGACTCGACCATCTTACTTTTGGATATCCCACGGCACCTCGTGTTTGCCCTCATAGTGATGGCAGGCGTCTGTAAGATCTATCCAACCTGCAGGCTCAAACTCGTAGACTGGCTGGTCGCCGTTGGGCTCGCCAGAGTCGCCCATGACAGGCGATACGCGCCAATGAGGCAGTATATGTTTTTTTATATCATGGATTAAGCTGCCAGGCGTAAAGTTAGTCGGATATTTGCTCTGATATATCTTTTCGCTATGTGATTGACGGCCTTGACAGGTTTAAAAGTTGTTGTTCACCGGCGCCACGAGCTCCACTGGCTAGCGATTTGGGTGGGCTACCTTCTGGGCCAGCTTGCTTCAGCTACGACCAGGTAGCTTCATCCAGCAATCCCAGTACACAACTGAACACTCCCATCATCGCATAGCAAACCCGGAACCAATAAATAAAAACCATCTGCAGGGATATAGCGTCGATTGCCGGAAGCGGCCGCTCAAGCCACCATGTTCAACGCGCTCAATCGATTCATGTCCCGCCTGGATGGTGGTGACACCTCGCATAGCCAGCAAGACCGAGGGTCATTTGGCTTCCAGGTGCTGCGAAACACAGACCTGCAGCTGGCTATCGAGCCGTGGTTTGACTACGTTGTTGGAATCAATGGGCGACCGATTGTAATTCTCGCAACGCCCGCGAGGACGACGGATGCTGACGCCTTGAGCAGGACAACCCAGACCCAAGCTTGTTTGCTCAAGAAGTACGAAATTGCGCTGGCGGCAGCGTTTCACTAGGAATTTGGAGTGCAAAGGCAAGTCGCACTTGACGCCGTTCTTCGTGTACGGCGTCCCAGCTAACAGCCTGCTAGGGACAACGAACGCGCGAGATGCACATCCCCGTCCCCGCCAACACGGCCTCGCTCGGCCTCTCCCTACAGTACTCGCCGCTGGCCCTCGCCGCCAACATCTGGCACGTGCTCGACGTGCCCGCCAACTCGCCCGCCGACCTCGCGGGCCTCCTCCCCTACAGCGACTACATCCTGGGCAGCCCCGAGGGCGCCCTGCACGGCGAGTCGGCGCTGGGCGAGCTGGTCGAGGACTTCATCGGCCGCCCGCTGCGCCTGCACGTCTACAACAACGAGTTCGACGTCACACGCGAGGTCACGATACAGCCCAGCCGCGAATGGGGCGGCAACGGTGCCATCGGATGCACGCTCGGCTACGGGGCGCTGCACCGCCTGCCCGCGCCGCTGAGCGAGCCCGTCGACGCGCCCGGCGAGACCATGTTTGACGGCCGCAACGAAAAAGCGGCCATGGCCGCCGCGGCGGAGACGCCGAGCGCGACGGGGTCAACCTTTGTGCCGGCGGACGCTGCGCAGGGCGGCAATTCGTCGTTTCTGGTGCCGGCGCAGCTGGTGGACCGCACAGCGTCGCCAGCGGGTGGCCCGCCCAAGGCAGGCAAGAAGAAGGAGAAACCATCTCATACGAGCAATAACCTTATGGATGACTATTTCAAAGAAGAGGAAGAGAAGAGCCGCAAGCTAGACAACGCGCCGGCCTCGAAATCAGCTGGGGTGCCGCCGCCTCCCAAGGCCGGACAAGGGCCACCCAAAAGTCCAGCGCAAACGCCGCCTGCTGCTGCTGCTGCCGAAGAAGACTCATGAGTAGAATTTTATTTATAGTCAAGATTCCCATATTTGAGTCGCCCGCGGGATATTCGAGTTTTGCATGTGTTTTGTTATTTGTTGCAAGCTGTTGAAATGCCGTCATCGCCTATAATACATCTATATGCCAGCCCGGCCGACCCTTGCAGCTCGCTATTTTCGTGTCAATATTCTCGATTACCGAAACATCTTTTAGTTAATAAAGTTGATACAGAAAAAGTGCAAAATCAAGCTGCAGACAACGAAATCGGCAAAGGCTCTGTTTATCAATTAGTATCATCGTGTCACAAGGCACGTCAAGGGACGAGTCGTAATTTTACCTTTCTGGGGAGACGGAAGGAAACTCAGTCTTGTCGACCGTTGCTGTTTGGATACGGAGAGAGACTGCAGCGGTTAGCTGGTCGGCCGAGACTTTCAGGAAAGGGTCGCAGTCGAAGATATGACATACTGGCAAGGACGAACTGGCCGACAGTGGCGGAGAAGCCAGAGAGGAACGCGTTGAATGGCTGTTCAGAACGGTTAGCAGGCTATTCCAAATAAAGAAGACCGTAGATTATGGCTGCAAAGCCGCATACGTAGTTGCCAGCAAGGACGCAGTAGGCAAACTGCAGAGCGCCGACCACGACGAGGAAGGCGAGGAAGACGTCAATCAGCTTGGTGCGCTGAGCCGTCTCCTTGGTGTAGTGGGTGTAAATGTTTTGAAAGACGACGTCCCATCTGTTGGCGCCTCTCTTGTTCGTCGAGATAGCCGAGGAGCGCTTCGCGGCGGCCGATGGTGCGGTCGTGGTGACGGGTTGCTTCTCCGTTGATGTCGTGGCCGCAGCGGCAGCTGCGTTTTTCTTGGGCGCCATGGCGAAGAGGAGATGATATGTTTGAAGGTGACAAGAGAAGACAATTGGCGCGGAAATTGAAGCAGTAGCTTCAGCTTTCAATTGATAAGAGCAAGGACGGCAATGATCAGGTCGAGGAGTAGTGCAAACGTCGTTGAATGTTCAAGACCTAGGTAGAGAGAGGCCAGGTACCGGACACGACAGCTCCAAGGAGCCAACGCTGGTGATTGGCTACAGTCGCATCCCACCTTTGGGGGTCTAGCTTCTGGGGGCGCGCGGCCGACAGACCCACTGCTGGGTATACCAGTATGTCGTCAGTCCAGGTAGCAGTGGTAGCTCAGCTTCGCAACCTCTCGGAGAATTGCAGTTTTCTTGTGCTTATTTCTATCTCTGGAATTTGCCATCGCTCCAGATCTCTAGAATACTGATTTCTTCGGATTCAATCGCCACCATGGTATGTACAAGAAACAGTCGCGCTGATAACTCGTGTTCCCCGACCGAAGCCGTGCCGTCGCTGACCATCTCGCAACAAAGTCCTCTCCGCAACTCGAGTACACCTCCTTTGTCCTCGCCGCCTTGACGGCCGGCGGCGGTATCATGGGATATGCCAAGACACGATCCGCTCCCTCTATTATTGCCGGATGCTCTGTCGGTCTTCTCTGTACGTTATTGATATTCCGAGCGGTTTGAAAGCAAGTTCGTGGCCTGTGCTGACTTGCTCTCCGAAACAGACGGCCTCGGTGGCTATCGCATTCAGAACCGCCAGCCCTACGGCATTGAGCTCAGTCTTCTTGCCTCTGTGATCCTGGGCGGTGCTTCTATCCCCCGCGCCATCCGCCTCAAGAAGCCCGTCCCCATCCTCCTCAGTGTTCTGTCCACCTTTGGTGCCATTACCTTTGGCAGTGCCTTCAAGAACTCTGCCTAAAGATCGGGTTGGAAATAAATGCAGTCTTGGGCATGGAGGACTGTGACGTTTGAAGATTTGGGCAATATGTATGACTAATTTGATGATAATGTCTCCTCTCAAACGCTTCCATACCCCATTGGTCAAGATGAACGCCGCCCATTTATTGTACAATATTTCCTTTGTTTTGATGGTCAACCGTATTCCTATCGTCTCTCTCCTCGTTCCCATATGTAGTGTACATTGTCAGTTGAAGTGGCGGGCTAGAAAATCAGAGACCAAGATCCTCCTGGGCCTTCTTGATCTTGTCGCGTTTTGCCCGCGCTGCGGCCCGGTTGTCGGCTTGCATTTTGGTTCGTTCGGCTCGTAAGCAGTGGTTGACCTTTTCTTTAACGTCGTTGCACCCGCCGGCGGCCTTGTGCATGAAGCCTTTGGCGTGGCACTCCTCGAGCTGGGCGATGATTTCTTCACACGCTGCAGCCTCCGTCGTCAGTCAAACATGGTTCCAAGGATCACAAAGTCTGTCGCCATACCCAGCGCGTTTTTTGTATGCAGATGAGGGTGCATGTTTGTTATGCTTCTGGCCCGAAGAGTTGTTCAAATCGAGCATTTTCGGTCCCAAGTAGAGAGGAGCCAGGCTGCGCGGGTCGCTGCCGAAACACCACCACGCCACCGAGGACAGTCCGGCAGAAAAGCTTGGGCCTCCTCCTCCGGAATTTAGCAACGACCACTAAACTCATCACGCTAAACCGCAGATTCGCAGCTCCCAACTCCAACCCTTATACCACATCAGTCAGCAGTCTCAGAAGCGCAAATACATCAGCGGCGATAGTATTTCATCATGTCTGCTCAGACTCAGGCGCCTGGAAAGAAGCAGCAGGGTAAGTCGTCGACGGGGATGTCAGCGCTGCGTTTGCCGTATGACAAGAGGCGCTAACCGGGACATAGATCTGCAAACGCAATATTCCAACTTTAAGAATGTGCTGCAGCAAATAGCACAGAAAATTGGAGATATCGAGCAGGAAGCTGAGGAGCACAAGTACGCGCTTTGATATCTTGTTGCCATTGTGGTCATGGTGAGGCATCACACAGGTGATGACTTCACCTTGAGTTCATGCAACTGCCCACCTAAAAGTCGATGATACTAATTGCATGCCTACCTCTATAGGCTCGTTCTCGAGACACTCGAGCCCCTGCCAAAGGACCGCAAATGCTTTCGGCTTATCAACGGCGTCCTTGTGGAGAAGACAGTTGAGGATGTTGCGCCTGCTCTGAAGACGAACCAGGATGGCCTGAAGAAGGTGTTGGATGACTTGGTAAAGAGCTACAAAACGAAACAGGATGAGCTCGACTTGTGGAAGGTCAGTGAATTCGCAAGAATTCGGTACGATGGCTACAAAGGTTGCGATTGCTAACTCTGATGCAGAAGAAGAACAATGTCCAAGTCGTGCAGCAATAGGATAGCCGATCGGAAATAAAAGGAAGGAAATCTGCACACACTACTTAAAAAATTTCTTTTTTTTGTGTTTCGGCTACCGGTGTTCATCGATTGCAGGCGTTTTGTACGTTGTGTGAAGTTGCTTCGCTGGGCAGCACAAGTCTATTGATGCAGACACGGGGTCTTTTCCGGGTTCTTCTGTCCACAATCTGAAGACCGGGCTGCGATCCGGGTGAATCACTGGCCTACATTGTACGTCACCTGTATGGCAGAGGTGACTACAGATACGCGTCTGCCGGCCAGTAACGGAGTACGTGACAAGATCGCAAACCACCAGTCTGCTGCGCACGTTGAACTAGCAGGCCTTATTTGTATGTACAGCAACAAGGCAGCCACATACACAGCCCCCAACGTGTGCAAAACGCAATGCGGCCCAAGGCTAGCCTGACGGATCCAGCGTGCGTTGTCGGCCAAGCCAGGCAAAATCGATGAGCAATGAAGCACACAGCGATGCCATCATGGAGGGTCAAGTGAAGCCCCGGAGATGCATAAAGTGAAACGGACAAACGCAAAGACCCGAGACGAGACGAGACCAGTACAATGATGCGTTGAAATTTTTCCAGTGGCTTGCATACTGCATAGAACTTGAAGGAATGCTGCTAGGCATCACGCTGCCCGATGTTGACAGCTGCAGGGCGGGCGAGGCGAGGTTGCTGGCGCGCCGGGGAACCGGGCACCTTGGACCATGGCATCATGACTATGCACACTAATGTACATTCACGTTCAAGAATAAGAAGTATGATGATGGAAAGTAAAGAGCTGACATGGTGGCTTTTGCCAGGAGATCCTGGAGAAGCACACCGCTCTTCGCCATAGCTTGAAAGTCGGCTGCCGAAGTGTGGAGACTCGTAGAGCGTGCTTGCGTGGGCCGCGGTGGGAAGTATGCACGAGTAAAAGAGTGCATTGTTTTGAGGCAGAGGGTGAGACGGTGATAGTGTAAACAAGAGCATTCTTATGCCGTCTGGGATGATATGTTGTGCTGGCAGTGGCTTCGTTGCGGGCGCAAAGGCTGCGTACATACGTAACTTGGGATCAAGAGATGCGCTGATCTACCCACACTGCTGCAGAGTGTTGCTGCACGGCGTTGAAAAGAAAGGGACCGAGACGGCCCAATCAGCCACTAGAGCAGCCACCAATGCGGTTACGTTTGGAAAGTATCAAAGTCTCGACGTTGAGCGTGGCATTTAGAGAACTCTAAGCAGCTACTCCCGCGGCCTGACTATAGCAGCCTTGGCGAGCATCCTACTGGCACTCGGATACCGCAGCTTTAGTTCCGAGTGGTTGTTTTCCTTTTGACGTGAAAGTGCTAGATAGCTGAATAGGGATGAGCTTGACAGATGGTGCTTGTGTCAATTATCATTAAATAATCGAGTTAAGCCTCACTCTCCTGCCTACCCAAGTACCTAGGTACTGATTTGCTACCCCACGCCTCCCTCAGTGCTCCACCTTTCCGAATGCAAGCTGCAGTCCGTCGCCGCTCGTTCACCCGCGACCTTTTCTTCCATCTTTGCGCATCAATTGATTGCTTCCTGAATCCCGGCGCACGCCCTCCTACGCCCATACCCTCCCGCATCGCCCATATCGCCCATATCGCCTATCTCGACGCCCTCCCCATCGAATCCGCTGTACACTGCAGCCCTGCGCATATCTGGACGACTCAGACAATCGCGCCGTCGCAGCTCCTAACAGCACCCGTTGGAGCCAGCCGCGTTCGCATCACGCGCGCTTCTTCTCCATCCTCTTGCCCACATCGCGCAGCAGCAGCTTTCGAGGTAAGGGCGCCGTCGTTTATACACTGTCATGGCATTCTCCCCGGCTTGGCGCGATGCAACCGCCCCTGTGCGAAAAAACGTTGTTGTGGGCGCGCGCCAGCACATGCTCGCTCCCAACACCCCCTCCACCCCTCCCTCCCGTCATCCCTCCTCTGCAGCTTGGAAACCCAACCGTCTTCTCCCATACGGCAGAGTACTCGTTCTCGCACACGTTCCGTCCCCTGGCGCAACCCGTCCTGAGCCGTGCACCGAGGACCCGGAGCCGCCGGTCCCTGCTTCCAGAGACTAATGCAAATCAGAGCACCTCGTACCGACTGGCAAACTGACTGACTGGATTCTCACAGTGACGCAGCCCTCTTCGTCTCTCGAGCCAACCCGACGTCGACCCGCACCCCCCCTCCATTTGACTCAACCTGGAAACTCCAGCCCAGCACTGTAGCCAAAGGGAACTCACAGCCGGAAAGACTCGCGTTTCAGCCCAACCGTTGCGCCAAAAAATAAAAAAGCCTTTGTATCACGGTAGCCGTTGCCAAGCCCCCAAAACAGCCAAATATGTCGGAGCCCGCTCAATCACCACCCAAGGATGCCGAGCAACCTGTTCAATCCCCTGGCGACGAGGGACAAATGGACGACTCCCAGGATCCCACTGGCGCCTACGACTTTGACGGCGTCAAGGAACAAGATAGATGGCTGCCTATTGCTAATGGTATGTCACTGCCCTAGGCTCGCGCCCAGCCACGCGAATTTGCGCTGTGTTAACCTATTGCACCAGTTGCCCGAATCATGAAGAATGCACTGCCTGACAATGCCAAGATTGCCAAAGAAGCAAAGGAATGCATGCAGGAATGTGTAAGCGAGTTCATCTCCTTTATTACTAGCGAAGGTAGGTCAACGCAACTCTGCGCATAGTTTTCCGCAGAGACCTGACATCATGTGTATAGCTTCGGAAAAATGTCAGCAAGAGAAGCGCAAGACTGTCAACGGCGAGGATATCCTGTTCGCCATGACATCGCTCGGATTTGAGAATTATGCCGAGGCCCTGAAGGTGTATCTCTCCAAGTACCGAGAGGTGAGCATGCCGTGTACCACCTGATCAGAGCAAGGACTGACCCTTTTCCAGCAACAAAATGCGACCAACCGTGAGCGCGCCGCGGAGAATATTCCATGGGGTAGCTCCGCAGCGGGCGGCGACCGGCCAGGAAGTGCCGGTCCCGCGACTGCTGGTTCCAACACTGGAGAGTTTGCCGAGGGCGCAAGCACCGCCGAGCCGTCGGCCGACCCCAATTACATGTACAGCTCCGGTGGCACTGCACACAACGGGTCTGCCCCAGCTACCGGCTCTGCTGAGGGTTACTAGACGCTGGCTCGATCTGGTGACTAAATGGTGCGGTTGATGTGTATTATGGCTTGTAGGGCGACGGACATTGTTGCCACCAGGATTGGGATACTTTTTCGTCTTGATTGCGAGAGCGAATCGAGAACGTGGCGCTCTATGTTTTGTTTGTTTATTTGCTTATTTTGTTGCCGCCTTTGACTTTCTCATCATGACATGTTTTGTTTCGGGCCCTTGTCTGGCTTGCAAGCTGGCTTCCTATGCAATAGACTTCGTTGAGACTTCATTGGATCCGGTTGTTTGAGGGACGGATCGGATATGGCTATGACTGTAAGGCGTTGACTGCCGCGAAAAAAGGGATTGAAGGATAGATGGACATGCCCTAGAGTGAGCGATTGCTTTGGACATGTAAAAATTCCATATCAACAGATGATGAATCAGGTATATAGACTCATATCTAAAAGGAGGAATCACAGCATTGCAGCTCGCTCAATTTGTGTATTTGACCGATAGATCCAGAAATAGTGTGAGGAGGGTGCGAAAGCCCAATATTTCTTTTCCTAAGAGATTTTGACTTGCCATGATGTTCTAAATTGTTCATTTGGTGAACTCGTCCGGCGTCGTCCGGCTAGATGTATGCACTCGCTCAGCGCACGGACCACTTTGTTAATGGTTTGGCGCGGCAAGGCGATGAGCACGTGTGTGACTCCACTTTTCCATAAAATAATCCTGTTGACAGTCAAAATTTCAAGATCGTCAGCCACAGAGCGTCTCAGTTCACTCTCCCGCCCTCCATCCAGACAGCTGCTTGTCTCTGTTCCCACCGCCATACAGCATCCTGGAGACAAATGCACGCTGCGGGACTATCCTATGCCTCTTGTCTGCTTGCATTATTATGAAAACATCTACATGGCCTCTCTTAAAACGCAGTGATTCTTCTACATGCCTAGACCTTAGCCGCCCAAACGTCGCTGGGGAAAAAAAATCAAACGGCAAGCCGCATCTACCCAGGGAAGACAGAAATATTGCCCAGGCACCGCATAGTGTGTGCACGGCGAAAAGAAGATAAAGGCCGACAGCGAACAGCAAAAAGAAACGCAAGATTACATACCCCATGCGACCGTTCTCTCCCGCCGCCAGAGTTTTGCCTGGCTCTGTGTCGCAGAACCTGACGCCCGTCAAGTCTATCCTCAAGACTGCCTCTGTCCTGGGCCGCCGCAAATATCGGCATGAGGCGGATTCGAACACGCCCGAAGCGCCCGACAGTCCGACGAAGCGACGCAAAGTCTTTTTCGACGACATTCGAAACGTAACATACGAGGTCGGCCGCCGCACAATGGAAGAGGTCAAGCTCGAAGTGCGGAACGCCCTCGAGGGCCACCTCCACGGCAGCGATGGCCAGTATGACACTCTCAAAGACATGTTTGCCAATGACAAGCAGCGCTATCTGCCCCCTGTCGTCGGCGAGGACGATGACACCCTCAAGCCGCACGAGCTCCAAGTCTACGTCATGGCTCTGACGAGCTGCGTCCCTATTCTCAAGAACAGAGATTGCAACGGCCTCGTGCGCGTGATCCTGCAGTGCTCATGGCTCGGCAGAGACGACGCCTTTGTCAAGTCCTTTACGCACTTTCTCGCCGCTCTTGTCAGCGCGCAGGGCTCCTACATCGGCGCCGTGCTGTCCATGATTGTGGACAAGTTTCAGCTGACGCGCCAATCGTCCTGGTGTGTCCCCGACTTTCCAGAGGTCAACCGCGAGACCATGCGTCAACGCCTGCACTCCACGCTGCAGTATCTTCTGCAAATGTTCCCTTCAGCGGTGGGCGTCCTCGAGAGCCTGTTGAGCGCCAAGTTTCCCTTTCCGGATGACTCGGTGCAAATACACATGGCGTATATCAACAACTTGCTCAAGGTCAAAGAATACGTGCCCAGTCTGCAGGATGAAATCCTCGACATCATCCTTAACCGTGTAGTCAAGATCGATTCGCAAATGCAGCTGGACCTTGAGGACATTGACGATGATATCACAACTGCCGTGCTTTTTGCACTCCGCGAAAACTCTCACACCACTTCCGACTGGGAACAAGACGAGCTGGACGACAGCGATAATGAGTCTGTTGACAGCGAAGATCTAGACTTTGACAAGGAAGCTACGAGAATCAAGACTGTCAAGGAAAACGTCGAAAAAATGGATGCTGTCCTTGATACTCTGTTCCAGTATTACACGCCTTACTTTCTTAACCCAGGCTCAGACAAAGCATTTGACGCCTTTACTATTATCCTCCGCGAGTTTGATCACATGGTTCTGCCAACATATAAATCCCGCCACACACAGTTCCTCATTTTCCATTTCGCACAGCAGCATCAACGCCTTACCGATGCGTTCTGCGGGCAGCTCATTGCTACAGCTTTTCAGAGCAACACACCCAACGTGCTGAAGCAAGCCGCCGCCGCCTACCTCGCTAGCTTCGTCGCGCGTGGCGCTCTGGTGCCTTGCAGCCTGGTGCGCACCATCTTCTCGCTGTTGCTGCAGTACCTTGAGCAGTACCGTCGCAAGTACGAGCCCATCTGCCGCGGGCCCGATCTGAAGCGATTTCATCCCTACTACAGCCTTGTGCAAGCCACGCTATACATTTTTTGCTTCCGCTGGCAGGACCTTGTCGTGGGGGCCCCGGATACTGTGGACGTTGACGACGCAGCCTCGTATATCGGCCAGGATCTCGAGTGGATTGGCAGCTCGCGCAAGGACCTCTCTATCCAAATCTTTGGCAAGCTGAACCCACTTAAGGTGTGCGCGCCCGTCATTGTCGAAGAATTCGCCAAGCTGGCCCATCGTCTCAACTTTATGTACGTCTACCCGCTGGTGGAGAGCAACAAGCGTGTGCGTCTCACGCAGTTTCTGTCCTCTACATACGCGACAGGCGGTGCGCTCCGCGATGCTGGCTACGACGGCCAGGAGGAGAGCTTTCACCAGCTCGACCCCTACTTTCCCTTTGATCCGTACCAACTGCCCGTCAGCAAACGCTGGCTCGTCAACGACTATGTGCACTGGAAGTCGGTGCCGGGCCTGAATGCGGACGACGACAGCGATGACAGTGACGACATGGATGGCGAGGACGAGAATGCGCTTGAGGAAGCCACTGCGACAGACAGCGACGGCGATGACTGAAAAGCGGCTCAAATGAGAGCTTGTGTTTGATTCAAGACGGATTTATGAATGGATATACCAAACGGAAAGACTTGTTTTATAAGGGAAGATGACATTGAAGAACATGTTTGATATAACATGTTTGTTTGTTATTTAGCGCGGAGTTGGACTGGAAAAGAATATTGGCTTTATTGTATGACTTTTTTATGCATTCACATGGAATATATTTCGCTACAAACCATCCCTTTTGCATATTCCAGGCACAACCTATCCCTATGACTACTCTCGCAGGTCAGGCCAATGCGATGTATTCCTCGCGAATATGCTTGCAGAGGTGACTAAACGTTACACTTGCACTGCTGCCTTGGTATGACTGCCGCTGTCTCAGTAGAACCAAACTACCTTCCTACGCAGTGAGAGAGCCTTTGGAGTCTCTTATTTGACACGGCCTTGCGAATTTCGGGCGACTCCAACACAGTGGCAAGTAGGGCAGCTAGACGCAAGTTGCTTTAGGAAACGCACACAATTTGCGGCGCAAGAACGATCTTTGCGAGTGTAAGCCGTGGGACGTGTCAGACATTTCAAACACATTACGCGTCGACAGCCTTTACACGTGGAATGTTATGCAGACATTTCATTGACTCTTGTAGACTTTGTTGCTATACCAAGATGGGCTCAAGCTTCTGTACAGGATACGACAAAGTATTCCCGACAACCCAGAGAGAGGACAGTGCTAGTTGCAGTAGCACACTTCGCCTTTGCCCCTGTCCTGGCACTGACCGCCCGGTTTTCCAATATACGAGCAATGAGCCTCGCAGCAGAGCCCCTTGGCCGGCGGAAGCAAGCTGCAACAGGCGCTGCGCGTAGCGAGAAGCGCCGGCGGCGCCGCCTCGCCGGCGTGCTCGTCGTCTGTGCCGGACACGTCGCGAAGGGCCGCCTCGATGGCCGCCTCGCGCACCTCGCGCCGGTCCAGGTCCCTCTCAGCAACGTACGGAGCAATACCGGACCGGACCTCCTCCTCCCAGAGCCGTGCCTCGGCGTCGTCGTCGTCGTCGGCGGCGGCGGCTTTGACCGTGACGGCACCCTCATCGTTGCTGCGCTTGTTGGGGTAGCATGCGCAGATGGATTTGCCGGGGCAGCCGTCGCGGGGCAAGCAGCGGCCGCCTCTGGGGTTGCCCTGGCGGACGCACACCGTGCTGCACAGGGCGTTGCCGCCGTTGTGGCAAGTAACGGAGTCCCAGCAGAAGGCGGAGACGGTCGAGACAAGAGCGACTGCGACGAGGGAGAACTTCATGTTGGGCGGGAGACGGTTTTTTTTTTTGGAAACTGAAAAGTGTGTCAGCCAGTGGATGGTGAAAGTGTGGCCTCGAGTTTGGGAAAGCGTACCTTGAAGTGGTGTTGATTTTACTGTCGAGGCTAAAGTATAACTTTGATTCGTAAAGGAAAACATTTAATCGAAGAGGAATCTTGCCTTATTTATACCTTCTCAAGTGAGTCGAGATCATTGTGCTCTCACGGACTATCGTGCTCTCACGGATCATCGGTTTTACCATACGAAATACGGCATCTCAAAGACGGTCTCCAACTCGGACAACGGATCCACCGCGTCTTACGGTAGCATCTGAATACAATAGGATACTTGAAAGATACTATACAGTCATTGACAAACAAAGGGGAGTCTCGGTGTATACAACATGTGCGTGACAAACTTGGAGTGAGAATGCCAAGATGAATTTGTCGTTCAGCTACGCCCGGGCGCAGATTCCTGTTAATGCCAAAAAAAGAACGAGGATGTGTTGTCAATTATCACAAACATGATGTAAGTGATGCCAATCTCGAAGGAATTTTGTTTATAGCTGAAAAGCTGGGTGTTGTATCGTAACCAGCCATATCCTTTTCTTTTTTTTTTTTTTTAAACCAATCTGGTGGCTGACCGATGACCGTTACTAGAAAACTAGTCTCTCGGTCTCAGCCTTGCGGTGCCGGTTGGCCCGCGCTCCGCGATCTTTGTGCTTCGGAATTGCTGCATTGGGGCATGTGTTGCGATATTGCCGATGCAGGGCGATGTCATGTCGGCGCAGCCTGGTGCCTGGTGCCGCATTACATAGAGTTCTGTGATGTCATACATCAAGTAAGCACAGGGGCTAAACTATCCGTCTAATCAATCCTTCCGTTTCGTTTCCTCCCTCAATTGGCAGTGCTTTGATTACTGTGTCGGGGCGTCTCGGTTGATCGGGCTGTGGCACAGGTGTCGTGTAAGACTCATGGCTACGTCCATTGGTCCCTTGACAAGTGACCACAGCTCGCCGTATTTTGCGCTTGCGAGATGTATGCTCTCAAATTGGGAAGATTTCGTAATGGTGACAACTCACACGACGCAGAAGTAGTTTCGAAACGTAAAGCTGAGGAAAACGTAGCGCTAGCGACGTCCCCAGATTCATCAGTCGGATCAACCGCTCTTGAGGATCAGTAGAAAAGCAAGTGATACAGTCGCGGGCCAATTTATTAGCAAAGTAGCAAACTAAAAATATCAATAAGAAGATGCCATTTATGGGAGGAAACGAATCGATATCAGGGGGTAAACCAAATATAATGGTTCCTGGTAGTAAGCTGTTCCAATCTGCCAGCATCCACGATGAAAAGAAACTGGCATAAATAAGTTGTTATGGAATGATGTAACGTGAATACTATTCAAAGTCAATCATTGCCTAATTCTAGATCATCCTTATCAATGAGTCCTTTTGCATACATGCTTCTGACCATTGGGTATACAGCACGCGCAAAGTTACTCCTCCTCTCTACGACGAAGCGCGGCGTAATACCATTGTTCTTGACACCGTTTCTCTCCTTTTTCGGAGAGAAAGCATGCAGTAGAAATGTACACCTCCAGTCTTGCGCCCAAGTCGTCAGGGAATTTCGGGGCTTTTCATAGTCCTCCGGGTACGCGGGCAGGCCGCCGTCCTTGTCAAAAGAGATTGCCCGTGGTTCAAAGTGGTTGGCAAACAGTCGCTCCGTATCAAAGGACCTCCATCCCATGGGCGCAAATGCAGAAGGTCTTAATGTGAGCATTGAGCAGGGCTCTTTGGCCAGCTCCTTGCCGATCTGGGTCAAGGCCTTGTTGCTGTGTGTCGTCCACCAGCCATTGTACGTCGCATGCATGCGGTCTTTCCAGAGCTTGATCATGCGCCCTTGCTTCTCAGACATGAATGTCCCGCTGTTGATCCATCCATCCGTCTGCCTGCCAACGACTGCGCTGTAGCCCGACTCCCTCAAGGGCTTCAGATCCTTGAGGGTGTGAACGTCCATGTCAATGTAGACGCCACCGAAATCGTGTACAGCTTGAACTCGAACAAAGTCGGACTTGTGCTCCATGCCCTTGATTCTCAAGCCATTTCTTGCATGCGTAGGCACGGGCACTGTATTGATGACGATACCTGGAATCGCAAAGACGCGCTTGGCCCATTTGCCTGCCTCGCCAGTCTGCGCACGGCGCACGGCGGTGCTGTTGGCCTCGACATTGGTGTGAAGGTAGATGACATTTGGCTGCCAGTGATGCCAAGCCGCATAGACGGAGAGGAAGTCGCTGAACTGCAGGGGAAATGTGCCATCGATGGGGTCAGACAAGACGTAGACCAAGTTCAATATGTTGGGGATTTCTACATGCTTCACATCTGCCCGGCATGACAAGTTGGCATCTAGCTGCGCCGAGCTGCAGCGCGCAGTTGTAGGTTGACTCAATAGAAATACCTTTGCTTCGTGTGGTAACAGCTGATATAGAGCCACAGCGAGCAGAGTAGCGACGAGAAGTCGGATGAGGGAAGCTCGACGCCCCAAACCGCGGAATAACTGCAAAGGAAGTTGAAAGAGAATTGCTACTGCATTGCGTGACCCCTTTTCTTCCATATTTGAGGGTATCCGTCTTCAACACAGTCGTAAAGTATACGCCCTGCCAAGTTGAATTTGCATACCGCAGAGAGCTGCAAGTTGCAAGATCACCTTGTAAAGCACGGCATCGACGAGTGCAAGACGAAGGCAAGGGAAGAAAGGAGGCAGCACCGTAAATACAACACGAATGCAAATACATTGGGCATAGCTTGCTTGGCCACAGTCTTGTGCTTGTACGCCAAGTTTGCAAGTTCCAGGGTCGACTCCCAACACTATTAGGACCCTGCAAAGTCAATCTCCATCTTGGCTTACACGTTTCTACAGGGCTCTAGCACCTAGCGGCGCGGCCACGTGCCGAGTTCTCTTGTGTAATTGGGCTAGTACCGAGATACGAGCTGTGGAACCGGGACAAGATCAAAGCAGTTGTCATTTATTAGGCATATGTCACAAGATTAGACATGTACAAATGCCTGGTCTAATTTTGAATGACGCTCGCTTTTAGTCAAGAGATGGCTCATTCGGAGCCACCCCTTCGCGGAATTGTAACTTTAATGTGGACCAAGTCTCAATAAGAAAGATGATAAACTCGTTGAAATTTCAACTCGTTAATAATAAGAAATCAACAACCGTTGACTATTATGGTACTGGATGGCGCGGATTATCGGGGAGCTCGATTGTGGCGGCCGAAGAAATTACCTAGTAAGCTTGGATTATTGGCTAGTACTAACGAAGAGAAAAGTTATAGCCTCGGTCTTTCATAACAAAAGTTGGCCAATTGCTGCCCTTTGTCTAAGCGTACTGTCTAGACCGAGCGGCGACCCTTAATACAGCCCGACCGCCCAGCCACCAAATGTTGTGCTAGCGGCCGTAGCGATCGGGCGCGAGGAACCCGGCATGCCGCGGGCAGCGACCGGATGTGCGGCGACCAGGCACGGACTTGTCCGGCACTAGCCCTCTGTACACAGCCTTGGCGCTGTACCAATAGACCGGGATGATCGGCCGGTTTTTCATCACTGCATCTCATTTTCCCGATTACATCACAATCCCGATGCTTCTTTTTTTCTCCCGAGAAAGTGTGTATTGGCTGATGGCGACCCCGGCAAGCGATACTAATCCGCCCGGGGCACCTGAACTCTGAAAGGCGGCCACTGACCAGAACCTTGTTAAAGCCGGCGCTATTCTTGCTGCGGCAGCTTCACCAACATTTGATGACGAATGCACAAGTTGCAAGCTGAGATGGGGCTATTACCCGTCACAAAATGTTTTGTGGGAAATATCTATAAAAGGACCCAAAGCCAATTTCCATGTACTTGTGATGATGATGATGATGATTGATTCACCACATCAGCAGCAGCAGCAGCAGCAGAAGCAGCAATCAACGGAATCATGCACGTCAAGACATGGACATGTTTGGTAACTGTCGCCGCAGTGACGGCTGCAGACCAAGTTGCCAACTTTTTCCTACCAGAAGCCACATATCCAGCCTACGGATGTGGTGAGGAATGCCAAAAGGCAATCAACCTGGCCGTGCCGGCCGACATTACCGCCGTCGGCCTCGACTTTGACAGCGGCTTTTACGCCACGGCGGACAACTTTAGCACCAGCCTGCCGCCCGGCGAGGTGCTCAAGTTTGAAACGCTCAACGCCAACGACCGTACTGTCAGCTCGGGCACGAGCCTGTTTCGTCTACAATACACGTCTCGCGACCTCGACGGGGCCATTGTGCCGGCCACGGCGTTTATAGCCCTACCGCAGGGCAGCAACTATGCGCGGCAGCAGCAACAGCAACAGCAGCAGCAACAGCAACAGCAGCAGCAGCAGCTGGAGGGCGGCAAGCAGCAGCAACAGCAGAAGCTGCCAGTCGTGGCGTGGGCGCACGGCACCATTGGCCTCTTTGCCGGCTGCGCGCCGTCCAACGGGCCCAACATGTACGACTACGGCACGTGGCAGCCGCTCGTGCAGCGCGGCTATGCCGTGGTCGCGACCGACTACGCGGGGCTCGGCAGCAACTACACCAGCCACAAGTACCTCTCGCACCGCGCGCACATCAACGACGTGTACTACTCGGTCCGTGCCGCCCGGCGCGTGCTCGGAGCTGTCCTGGCCGACGAGTGGATGGCCGCCGGCCACTCGCAAGGCGGCGGCGCCGCGTGGAAGCTCGCCGAGAGCTCCTTTGTGAAGAACGACACAAGCTACTTGGGCACGGTGGCTATTGCGCCGGCCACGTACGTCGTCGACATGTTCCTTGGTAGCCTCGGCAAGCCCACTCCCGCGCTGCTTGGCTACTTTACCTACTTTCCGTTTGCCCTGCAGCGCGCGCTGCCGTCACTCAACAACAGCAGCAGCAACAGCAGCAGCAACAGCAGCAGCAGCAGCAGCAGCTTTGTGGCGCTAGACATGCAGAAGCGGCTGCACCTAGCCGAGCGCATGCAAGTATGCATCAGCGGCATGTTTGCCATGGTCTCCGGACTCAACTTCACGCAAATCATCAACGCGACCGAGCTCGCGCGGGGCCGGCCCGAGATGCTCGCGTGGCAGAGTAATAATAGCGCCGCGCAGGGGGACAGGTCCCCGGCGCCGGTGCTGGTGGTCCAGGGCGAGGCCGACACGTCGGTGCTGATGAACACGACGCGGAAGGCGTGGAAGAGGTCCTGCGAGGCGGGCAACGAGGTCCATCTGCGCCTGTACGCGGGCCAGGAGCACTCGGCTACGACGGAGGCGGCGGCGCCGGAGTGGGTAGGATGGATTGATGAGCAGTTTTACGGCCGCAGGGCGCTTGCGGCTGGTCAGAATTGCACGGAAAAGGTGCGAGACTTGTTTGCGGGTAGCGATACGAAAGCCCCGCCAGAGGAGTAAATAAGTAGCGCGTTTGGTGTAATATAGAGTTGTCTTAGCGATATATTACTTGTCAATGGCAGGGGCCCTGGGCGCGTGTGTCTCGGCTGCGTGGTTCGGGTGGCTGAATCGGCTTGGCAAGATCGGCTTGGCAACGACGCCATGTTCCATCGTGGATCTATCCGTGCTGTCGAGTCCGTATATCTATCATCTTGCCATTCAAATCCCGTTATAAAATGACCCCCTCTCCAACTTTGCCAAGCCAGCTTTTCTGCCGGACTTGCTCTGAATATGAATGACGTAAAAGCTGCGAAATTGAAGCAGCAAAGTTTCGACGCATACGGCAGCAAACAGTGGATTATGCAACTGTCAGTTATGCAACAGTGGAGACCCGTCTTACTTTATGAGAATAAACAACCACAAGAATCCAATAATACAAACCAATAGTACCAACAAACATGCATCTCGCTTCTGCCATGAGACATTATCTGGAATAAGAAAAACTTGACGACTCGAGTCAACCAACAAGATAGAGAGAGAGCACGTGACGCATTCCACACACACGGCCGTCAATTCCATCATCATCTCATTCGCATTTCTTATTCCTTTTAGACTTGGACAATTTCGACATATATTGCGAGACAGATTGCCTTTACTGAAAAAAAAAAAAGAAGAAAAAAGAAAAAGAAAGGAAAAAAAAATGCGCCAAGAGCTCTCGCCAGAATGGGACACTCATTACGGCAACCCATACACATGGCCGGCGCGCAAGAAATGGACCGTCGTATTGACCGCCTCCACCGTCACTTTTATAGTCGGCCTCAACGCAACATCCATCACCACGGCCGCCGACATCATTTCCGATGAATTCAACCTCGGCAACGACATTTTTGAATACAACTTTCTCTCCGTCACGGCTTGGAATGCCGCAGCCGCCTTTATTCCCCTGGCCACGCTGCCACTAATGGACACGTACGGCGTGCGAAGAGTTTATCTGGTAAAAAGAAAAAGAAAAAAAAAGAAAAAAAAAAGAAAACATTGCTAATGAATATTTTTCATAGACTTGTCATGTGCTGTTTACGATATTTCTCATTCCACAGGCGCTGGCTCACAACTTTGCCACACTGGTCGTTTGCCGCGTCATTGCCGGCGCCTCGGGCGGCACGCTGCAGAGCGCCGCCGACGCCATTGCCGCCAACATGTTTCCGCATATCCACGAACGCGCCTTGCCGCTCACCTGCTACGTGTTTTCGCTCATCTTTGGCGTCACCATGGGTCCCGTACTGGGCGCCCTGATTGAGCCTCTTGACTGGCGCTGGTGACCGCCCCCCCCCCCCCCCCCCCCCTCCCCTCCCTTTGTCGTGTTCATCTCATTCCAACAAGATTATTGGGCAGGGTATTCTGGATTGAGCTCATATTAAGCGGCGCATTACTTCCCGCCGTCTTTCTACTTCTCAAAGAAACGCGAGGATCCGTCCTCTACGCCAAATACTTCCCCAGCGACTCTAACAGCGACGACGACGATGACGAGGGGCCGGGAAACGCCAGCAAGGCCCTGCACGACTTTTATTCTGTCACGACGCGTTCCGCCGTGTTCCTCACCACCGAGCTGCCCATTGCCCTCTTTACCCTCTGGTCCTCCTTTGCCTTTGGCCTCGTCTTCATCTTTACGCAGTCGATCCCCCTCGTCTTCAGCTCCGCCTTTGGCTGGCCGGCGTACCAGGGCGGCCTCGTCCAGAGCGCCGTCGGCATCGGCCAGATCCTCGGCTTTGGCGTGTGCATGATTCAGCGGCACATTTACATTGCGAGCGCCCATCGCAACGCCGAAAAGCCGGGCGACCCCGTGCCGGAAGCCATTCTGCAGCTGTCCATCCCCGCGACGCCCATTGCCCTCGCGGGGGGGCTGTTCATGTACGGATGGAGCATACACCAGCCGCACTGGATCGTGACGGCCATTGGGCTGGCGCTTGTTGGGTTTGCCAGCATGATCATCATCAACGCTGCCACCATCTACATTACAGACGCCTATTCGGCCTTTGCAGCTAGCGCAATCGCGGCTGTTGCATTTGGTGAAAACGCTTTTGCTGCTTTTTTGCCACTGGCCGCCAAGCCCATGTATGAGAGATTGGACTACGACTGGGCTAGCAGTCTGCTTGGCTTTGTCGGCCTCGCTCTTACTCTGGCACCTGTTTTGCTGCTTGTTCACGGCAAAACGATTCGCAGTAAAAGTAGATTCAGACGCTAAAAAATGATGTCAAGTGGCAGATGAATGGATAAGTGGATTTAATCAGGATAGAATACGTTGTGATGGCCATATGTAATAAACAATAGTGTATAATATAAACAAAAATATAACATGCGTCAAATGTATGACAAGTGTATAAAGTCTATTACAAAGTCTAGAGCTTTGCCATAGTAAAGTCTAGTATATGGATATATCAAAATGCCGTTTTAAAATGAGAAAAAAAAAAGCAATTCAAACAATAAACATGAAATATTGAAACGTTAACTCTTCTCCTTCTCCGCCGTCTTTTCAGACTGCTTCGTCACCTCGGAAACTGAACCCTTCTTCGCTTCCTCCTTGTTATTCTTCAGGCTACCCTTCTTCGGCACCCGCGCAAGCCAATAAATAAACAGTGCAGCGGCAATGTTAAAGATGACGTAGACCCACAGGACTCCAAAGTTGCGCCATCTGTCCTTGTAGTAACTGTTGACGCCGGCAAGATAGGTGTTTGTGTCTGAAATCGTGCAGAATTGGCAGTCCTTGGTGGCATTCTCGTCGAGCAAGTGCCCGCCGACCTTGTCAATGTAGGCTCCCAGATACTCCTGGCAAGTGCCCCCGAGTGGCTGCAGAGTGACGATTTCATTGTCGGCGCAGACGACATTCGTATTGGCTACGGCAACCGCCAACATGCCCGATATCATGTACCGAAAAGGCGAAACTGTGAGCATCCAGTGCCAAAAGCCAGGAAGACTGTTCTCGTTGGCGAGGACACCACAGAAGATGAGGCAAAGCGTGAACATGAGATTGGCAATGTTTCCACCAGCTTCCGCTGTTTCGAAACCAGCAATAATCATGGTGGAAAAGGTACCCGTGAAAAGAAGAAACATGAGAAGATAGAGAAACATGAGGGCACCACGCTCTGTGACCTGACCAGTAGGTTCAGCGTTGCGGTACAGACCGACTGGGTAGTACCAGGCAAAGTACATAATGACGGCCATGAGAGAATTCCAAGGGAGTTCCACAATGATCTGGGCGAGCATAAAGACCTTCCAGGAATAGACCTTGGAAGGGCGCTCACGTACTTCGTAGAGTGACCGCTGAATCACAAACTGCGGCATAGACTGTTGCACAATTTGTCCAAAGACGGTAAGAAGCTGGAAAATGGCAAACATTTGGTTCTGCAAGCCTTGAACACTGTTGGGGGCCCGGAAGAAGACGAAGCCAACGAAAAGGGCCACCAGCGTACAGAGAGCCGTCTTGGAATAGATGTAGACGGGCATGCGCCAGTACTGCTGGAAGACACGATGAATGCACTCTTTCAGTTGAACCGAGTAAGGGGCGGCGAATTCACGGTAGCTGTTAGGGTCCTCGTGAATCGGCGATGATCCAGCCAGAGATTCGGCTTCCTGCAGCTTCTCGACTTTGATGTTTTCCAGTTCCTGCTGCACCTCGCTGTATTCGGGGCTGTTGCGCCAGGTCTGGAACCAATCGAGATCGGTGTGCGAGCCGGGAGCAGCACCAATTACCTCCAGCATCCATTCAGCAGGGTTGGCTGCTTCAGGGCATTCCTTTTTGCTGTAGCGAGTAAAGTAGTCGGTCATAGTCTTTGAGCTTTCGCCAATTTCGCCGAAATACACAGTCCTGCCACCCTTGGCCAGGAACAGAAGACGGTCGAAACGTTGGAAGAGCATGGCGGACGGCTGGTGGATAGTACAAAGGATAGCTTGGCCGGCCTTGGTAAGTTTCTCCAGCAGATCCAAGATGGCCCAAGAAGTTTGCGAATCAAGACCAGACGTGGGCTCATCAACAAAGAGCAATAGAGGTGGTTTAGCAGCGAGCTCAACACCAATTGTGAGGCGCTTTCGCTGTTCGACGTTGAGACCCTCACCGGGTACACCGACAACTGCGTCAGCATACTCCTCCATTTCCAGCAGCTTGATGACTTCGTTGACATACGCCACCTTCTCCGCTCTCGGCACGTGGGCAGGCTGGCGAAGAACGGCGGAAAATATGAGGGCTTCGCGGACCGTCGTTGTCTGGAGATGGAGATCCTGTTGTTGCACATAGCCAGTCTTGCGCTGGAAAGATGTATCGCGAGGTTTGCCATCGACAAACATTTCACCAGTCAAGACACCAACATTGACACGGTCAGCCAAGCAATCTAGCAGTGTCGTCTTGCCTGCGCCAGAGACACCCATCAGCGCGGTGAGCGTGCCGGGCTTGACCCAGCCATCAACGTGATCCAGGATTCGGCGTGTTTCGCTCTTGATCTTGACATCGTAGCAAACGTCGTGCCATTGGAACACAGAGGTCTGCTTCTGTAGCAGGCCACCGTCCTGACCTCGGCTCAGCTCAGCTGTAACGACAGGGCCAATGTTTGCCATGGCAGCTTCAGGGTCGTGCTTCTTCTCGGCAGCCTCGGCAGCCACCGGCTTGTGGCCCCGACGATACACGAGAACTTCGCCCTTTGACTTCTTCTCAGAAACGAATTCGGCGGCAATCATGTAACAAGTAAGGAAGAAGACGATGAATGCGATGACAATACCGAAATTGCGCCACCGGTGCTCCCATTTATATCCAAAAGCCATTTCAGCATAACGGTCACCGTTGACACTGGTACGGCCCTGAATAGCGCCAATGGTGCTGCAGACGCGATGGTCTCCAGTGATATTCTCATAGCCGGCAACATTTGGGTTGGGCACAAAGTCGGTGCATGGAAACTCTTGGCTGTGAAACTCGTTGACGAGAAGCGCTTCGAAAGCATAGGACAGCGGGTTGATATAGCCTATCCATCTGCACCATCCGAGCATATATCTCGTTGGCAGAACAAAGCCGGTAAAGATGACCAATGCGAGAATAAGAATGGCGGCAGGCACAAGCGCTTGGAACAATGTCCGAGTCGCGGAACCAATCGTACGAAAGATCATGGACATGACCAGGACTGTGGCGTATGAGATGAGCAGGAAGAAGAAAAAGTGCCCTGGCTCACGCCGCAGGTTTGTCATGAAGTAGATGACCAGGTTGAAGATGACACCGTTGACAAGTTTATATGGCAAATCGCAAAGCATAGACGAGACGGCCTCGGCAGATGGATGATAGAAAGCGTAGCGCGAATGCTTCTCCACGATGGGACGCTGAGCATAAAGTGTCAGAATCTCCAGCGCACTGGCGAAAGCGTTCATGAGACAGGCGAAAAACAAAAGGGAACCGCGCTGGAAAAAGCTAGAAGAATTCTTCTGGAGGTTGTAGAAGACGGAGCCAATGATGAGGGCCATTATAAAGTTTCCGACCAGCATGCCAACAGTGAGACTGGGGTCGCCGGTGAGACGCTTCCAGCCACGCCACAGGCAAAGCTGAATTTGCTGAGAGTACGACAGTGTAAAGGGAGATTTTGGGCGCTGACCCTTGGCTTGCTGAGCCTGTTTGTGCGCACGGAAGACCTCGGCATCGGCACCGCCAATGGGATGGCTTGTCTTGTATTCCTCAATCTCGGCCTGCAGAGCCTTGTAGTTGGCACTGTTCCTCCAGGCAGTGGCAAACTCGTCAGGCGTGCGGGGAGTGCGCCCTTCAAATCCAGGGCGGATGATGATCTCGAGTGACGAGGTCATGGACGTCAAAAAGTCTGGCGTGGTCTGACGGGCTGGACATTCGAAGCCAAGATCGATAAAGTATTGCTTGGCGGCATTGGCGTTGCCAAAGAAGATCTGACGGCCTTCGTAGAGAACACAGGCCTTGTCAAACAAATCGTACGCGGTCTGAGGGGACTGGTAAATCGAGACGCAAGCTGTGCTGCCAAAGAGCTCGGTCTGAAGACGGAGTGTTTTGCAAAACTCAATGGCGTTGGCCGAGTCCAGACCGCGAGTCGAGTTATCCCAGCACTGGAGGGGTGCGCCGGACAGGGCGGCCTCGGCGATTGTCACACGCTTTCGTTCACCACCAGAAACACCACGGACATATTCGTTGCCGACTTTGGTGTTGACAGTGTGTGAAATGCCAAACATGGCCATGACGACTTCCCGAAGATGGTTTGCGAATTCATTCCGATTTAAGCCCTGGGGCAGCTGGCGCGGCTGACGGGCACGGGCGGCAAATGTGAGAGTATCGCCGACCGACAGTTGGGGGAAGTGGACGTCAACTTCGGCAGTGTAAATGGCTTCTCCGCGATGGTGCTTGTGCATCTCCTTGGCTCCGATACCTGTGCAGAAAACCCCTGTTAGTTTTTGGGCTTTATTCGGGGCCGTCCATCTGCGACAATGTCGCGCTGCCCCAATAATGAACCAGTCGCAGCGCACCGGGCGAGCTACGACCCTCAAGGTCTCACTTGATCTGGAACACCAAAGCTAGAGAGAACCAAGGCCCCCAGCTGGTTGCGCACCCACGTGGCACCGTCGCAAAAAAAAATGAAGGAGACGCAGCAAACTCACCTTGGTAGTTAAGATAGGACTCGTCATTCACGTAAATGCCATTCATCTCGCCAGAGATGGCCTTTAGCAAGGTGGAACAGCCAGAACCGGGCGGGCCAAGAACGACTACCATTTCGCCGCGGCGAACGATGCCATCAAAGTTGCGAAGAATATCGATGCGCTGCTTGTTGTTTGTGACTAGATCGCGAATGCTGCCCATGGCAGAGAGCCAGACATTGCCAACATCCTTTTGGTAGTCGGCGGCGGTGCCGAAGCCATGGACGTTGAGGTTCTGGAAGCAGATGCCGGCTGTGCGAAAGGCGGACCCTTCGTGCGAGACGAGCTCGACAATGGCCTTTGCCCACTCGCGACCGGAAAAGTTGGGCGAGCTGGGATTCAGAGGCGAGTCGGGGCCGGCCAGAAACGGATTGCCGCCGGCGGTACCCGAGGCACGCGAGTAGCTTCGCGCAAGGGCTTGGACAACGGACGTGCGACGGTTCATCTCGGCAGTGTCATCGAGATCAGCCTTGCCGACGGTTTCGGCAGGCGAGCTGTCATTTTGCGCGTCGTCTTCGGTGGAAATGTCGTGGTTATCGACGTCGTCTGGGTTGTAATGCGGACTAGTGTTGGCGACACCATACTTTGCAGCAGTGGCGTCGTTGCTGCCCGTCATTCCATACACAAAGGACATGATGGATGAGAATGACGCGGCGCCAAAGCGCGGCAGCTTTTTTGTAAAAAAAAAAAAAGAAGTGTGTATTGTTTCTTTGCGGTAGGAGAAAAATGCGCCGCCAAGAGAGAGGTTGCAAGAGTTTAGTTTTCAGGGTGTACAAACGCAGCGGGCTGGTTATCGCGGGTTGAGCCTTGCCCGAGTAAACAAGCTGGCCAGCCAGGATAAAATATACGTCGGGGGGGTCCACGAACGGGGACAACGAACGATATGAGGAAGAAGAAACGAAATAGCTCGCAAAGAACAGGCAGCCGAGAAGTTTATTAAAGTAGACGAGGACCCGAAACGCTGGGTCAGCAACGGGTGGATCAATTCCGACCAAATTATGGCCCAAAAGAAAATAAGAACCCCGAGATGCGGGCAAGGCGGGATAGGCGGGGTCTCGGAGCACAACAGTGGGCGAGAAAGTAGCTCCAGCACACGAGCCCTGGGGTTCAAGGGCTGATACACTTTCTTGGCCCAGTATCAGCTCCTACTCCATACATACTTTGGCTAGGCAAGTTGGCAAGTTACTTGGCATCTGATGGCGGGTCCGCGAACGAGTCCAAAGAGGTACGCTACGTGTAGAATAAATCATGGGCCAGATGCTAAGTCCGCTACGTCAACTGCAGTCACGTTTTGCGTGCCCAGTAGGATAGGGAGCGTGTCACTGTTGCATTTTGCTCTTCACGTTGTCGGTCACTATTGACTACCTACTGAACAGTGACGTGTAGACTGGGTGTTGCGAGACACTTGACGATTTTACTGGTACATCCAGCACAGATCTTGCCGCCCCAAAGAAAAAAAGAGAAAATGAGATAGTTTGCGGACTTTGGATGTGGAGAAATTCGGGGCGATTGATAGCATGCGACACCGAGAAGCCAAATTCCCCTTTAAAATATCTACTGAAGACTGTAGCATAAATACATGGCAGTATCCACAAGTAGCAGCGCTCGGCTAAAATACGTTTCCAGGTCTAGAGTACAATTACGAGTACGCGTATAGAAGCGAGTAAGCCCATCCTAGCCACCCATCATCCAGTCTTTTATCCACATAGCCCAGCCTTGTTTGGGAGAGAGAGAGAGAGAAAAATTCACTGCGGCTACCACACGTGCCACCACAACTTGCTCTGTCCAACGTTGGATGGGCACTAACGAGCTAGTTAAGCCTTTCAGCTGGTTCCCTATTGTGTGTGCGAGGGACAATGTTAGAGGGCCAGAGGGCGACCTGGGCGGCGCTGCCGATGCAGAGTCAACAGTGTGACAGGGCAGAGACAATGTGGCGTGGCGGGCGCACCCCTAATTAGGTAGTTACCTATTTACTGGTACAGCAATGTTTCCGGCGTCAACGCCCGTCATCCGAGACAAAAGCCATCATCAAGTCGATATGTAGCCGCTGAATCAACTACAGCACAGCCTGCAATCATCAAATGTCACCCACTTACTAAGTAACCATTGACTGATCAGTGATCACCAGTGCAAGCATGTGCCAAATACGCGGCAAAGCTTGTGATAAGTCCCTCTACTGACCTTATTCCGTATATCCTCTCGTCTGTCATCATTTTCACTTAGTCTTGTAGTCTTGACTCTTCAGTGCCTCGTGGAGTCGTGGGGGACCGACCCAGTTCGGTGACTCGGTTGCCGCCACCCCCTATCCGCTCTCGGGCTGGCCAAAGAACCCGGCAGCCCGCCGCACTATTCCGGCAATGACAACAACTTATTCTCAGCGGAGCCCGGTACTTGGGGGCACCTGCATCCAAGCTGATCGATGGAAATCGCTACACGCCCGTGATGATTTTTTTTTTCTTTGCTTTCGTGCTTTTGTTATCAGCGGAAACTCTGTCATGATCGGCAGCGGTGATCGGGTCCGAACCTTGAGGAAGCTTTCACAAGTCCGCCATCTTTTGGGGGCCTGCGGCGGCCTGACCCAAGAAATAGGACGAGACCACAACCCCTGCCACATGCCAAGTTTCGGTGCCTGCAAAACTAGCTCAATCCGAGAAGAACCACAATCATCACCACATCGCAAGCATGGCCAACTGTAGAAATAAAAACCATATAATTATAATCATGGAAATTATGATTGTGTCCTACTAGCCAATGTTCCATACACCCTGATGGTGGTTTGTGAGCTTGCTGAGTGACCTGTGGTTTTCTAATAGCCGCAAGGCTGCAACTATTGGTAACAGTTATAGACTATGGTTAATAACAGACCCCGGTTAAGGATTGCACTGCTGCAAAGCTTATCTGGTCCCGCACGACCGCGTACAAAAGCTGACCATGTAAATAATAATTTTCTCCGACATTAATTGGCAATTGCCCCCAGATATATTGTCTCGTCGGGACTTGCTATTTCCATCGAGCCGCATATACAAGGATCAAAACACCCAGTAAACCTTTCAATCCGGAAATATTGTCATGACAACAATTAAATTAGATTGAACAGTACGACTCTTGTATTTTTTCAATCGTATTGTCGGAGATGTGCGTGGCGAATCGCATCATAGTCTATGCCAATATTATCAATAGCATGCCATCGCCACAAGTTATGATATAATGCTGTGTATGTTGACAATTTCCTTGCCCGCGGAAAACCATCTCACAAAAGTCAATGATTTAGGCGACGTGCTCGTCGTGGACCATACTGTCACCCGTGTCTATGCAGTCGCGCGTAAATTACTGCTAGGATCCCTGGTGCATGGCACACTGTCTAATCCTTGGAAACCAAAGTGTTGATATCACCACCACTTGAAATTTTTTCCAACAATTGGTTGCTAATGAGCTGTCAACTTGATTTCTTGACAAACCGACCAGGGACGAGAATTGCGATCGCCTATTTCAAACTCGGCAACATGCCTTGCGTACGGGTACAAAATGCCAGCAGATTGCCAAATCATGGAGAGTTGCATCCGATACCGATCTCGGCATCTCGACCATGCCAGTGTTTACCATATCCCTCGTCTCCGTTCTAGCGGCCATTGTCAGCCTGGCTTCCGCTCAAGTCGTCGACGACTCTCAATGCGATTGCTACGTAACCGACGGCCGCTTTCCAACCTACTACCAAAACCATGGATTCTGGGACTTTCGCTCTCTGTCGCGCTGCGCCGGCGTACCCCCAATCATTCGAGAGGTCGACGGGAACCTCAATGCCAATGTGACGTGCTCTCTGTTCGACTGGAGCCACCCGTTTACCGACTTCTGGGCCCCTCAGCACTGGACCAACGCCAACAAGACGTTTCCCATGGTTGTGACGTACAATAACCTGTATATTGAGCACAACCCGGGCGGCCGCCGCGACCACCAGAGACACGACACCTTTCTGACAATGCGCACCTCGCGCCTGCCCGGCTTCCAGACCGCCGCCGAGCTCCAATCCATCCACAAGCTCGACCACGCCTCCGTCCGGATGCTCGCCCGCACGCACGGCTCGCCCGGCGCGTGCACCTCCGTCTTTACCTACTTGGGCGCCAAGCGCCTCCGCGACGTGCAGGAGAGCGATGTCGAGATGCTGACGCGCGAGTCGGCCGCCACGGCGATCCACTACACCAACCAGCCGTCGTACCTCGAGGACGGCACCTTGATCACGGGCGCCGCGTACGCGGCCACGCTGCCCAACGGCCGTTGCTGGTCCGACTGGATCACGCACCGCCTCGATTGGACGCCGGGCCGCACCACGTTTAGCGTCGACGGCGTGCAGAGCCACACGCAGACGTTTCAGGCGCCGCGCGACCCCAGCTACGTCTTGCTCAATGCGTGGAGCGACGGGGGTGTGTGGACGGGTCAGATGCGCGAAGGCGGCGAGGCCTTTCAAAATGTGCAGTGGATCGAGATGCTTTACAATCTTTTGCCAGCGGGGGCTCAGTGCAACAGAACATGTAGCATTGATAAGTCGCCCCAGGTCGGCAAGCCCGTACATGTTTAGAACATGTGACGCGCGGCGATGGTCAAGTTGATGCTACGTCGAAGGTGTACCATGTCTTTGTACATACAGGAATCGTATGTATTGAGTATGTGTATATTTGATATTTGTATATTCGAATTTGTGTATCCGAAATTTGTGTATTTAGAATTTGTGTATCTGAACTTGTGTATTCGAAATATGTGCATTGAATGTTCGTTGGAAATGTGGCATCTGTCGAGGTTACCACGTCTCTGGTCCAAATGTGCCATTCTTTGGCACCATTTCAAGTATCGCAGCATAAGAGGCATCAAGGGTATTTGCTACGGCGACGTTGCCCCACCACTGTGGAATCGGAACTCCCGGCAATGTGATGGCAAAGAATATAATGACGGTGCTCAATATCAAGCCTGCGTCGAGAGCCGACGCTGTAATGTAGTTGTAGGTCAACCACCAACCGTTGAAGCGGTTGTGAATCCATTTGTTGAATACGAGGCCGACAATAGCCCAGGAAGAGAAACTGAGCGGTGTGGCTGGTGGAAGCCAGGCCATCGACCCAAACATGATGGGCGCGTTGAAATGGCGAAAGAACTTGATGCCGGCCCTGTTGATGAGGAGGTAAAAGACGACGGGGAGCGCAGCGCCGCCGAGCCAGAACCAGTTAAAATGGCTGTACATGCCACCGACGCCAAACATGCGCCGCGGGCCAATGACGCCCCATACGATGCTGGAGGAGAAGAATGCGCGGCCGTTGGGGCAGGTGAAGTGGTCCTTTTGCTTGTTGTCGCAGGCATTTTCAATGTGCCCGAGCGTCCAATTCATGACGGCAATCTGCACAAATACGGCCCATATGGTGGGAATGACCTGACACCAAAAAGTCACCTTGGGGGGAATCTTCATGTAGTGGCCAAGTTTCAAATCACTCGAGTATGTCTGCGCCTGGCCGAGAGTGATGACGCTAAAGACTTTGAAGATCATGACTCCAATAGGCCTCCCCGGAATCATGAAGCCTGCCAAGAAAGCAGAGAGGACATTCAAGCTAATGGCAATGTTGGACACGGCCAGAATCATGGAGCTAGGGATCATAAAGATCAGCGCCAGGAAAAGCGAGACCAAGAATGCCCACCATGGGAGCTGTGAGTCGTAGGCCAACGTGGTTGCCAAGCCCAACGCGAGCGAGACCAAGAAGAGCGCTCCGTACCACCAATCAGGAGCCTCTTCATATTTCTTCATGAGCTTCAGGTGAACATCTGGCTCCTGATTGCGTGACGAGCGAAATCGATGCCAGATTTCCTTGCCGTGGAACAGACCCGTATGCACAAGGGTAGAAATAAGTGCCGCAAAGGACAGGCCATAGTTGAGTGCCAGCGCAGGTGTCAGAAACAAGGGCGAGTACTCTTTGTAGTTCTTCTCGTCAAACGCGAAGCCGGGGCCGAGAATCTTGTTCACCTGGTAGGCTTGTTGGGTATTGTCGTACACTTGTGACGTGACCATGGGCAGATATTTTGACCATAGCGCCCCGCTGTAAGTGATGCCGATGATGGGCATGACCATGAAGCAAAACAGGCCGACTAGCGAATTGACATGAGAGAGCGTCGGCGCGAGAAGCGGGTTGCCGAGGTACGCAGTGACATAGGTCCAGTCGAAGGTGATGGGAAGCAGAGACAGCCCAGAATATCCTCCAAATAGCTGGTTGACGACGACATTTTCGGGCCTGATCCAGGTTGGAAATGAAAAAACGGCCAGTCCCTGAAAGATGACGGCAGGAAACCAGTAGTACACAAACATGGCCAAACCCGCCAGACAGAACCAGCTGTATCTGCTAATCTGCCACCCATTCGCGTTTGCTGCTCCCTTGCTGCTCCGATCGTGGAGCGCATAGAAGAGCGTGGTGCTGGAGAATTGCGCCGGCCACAGCATCGCCGCCGGCCAGACGAGGAAACGGCGAAAAACGCCCGCAAACGAGATGCCAATGAGCTGCGAGCTCAGGGTGAAGAGCAGCGAGAAGCCCCAGCCGAGATTCTTGTCGTAAAACGGCTTCCCCTGCAGCGCGAGCAGCGCGTCTGTGCTGTAGGCGTACCCAAACGAGACATTGGCCATGAGGGTGATGACGGTGTGCTCCTTGATGGTAAAGGGGCCCGTGTTGAACGTCCACTCGACGCCAAAGGTACGGAATTTGCGCATCGGCACCACCCGCGCCCAGAAGCAACCAATCGGGTAGACGAGGAGCTGAATGATGATGGCCTGAAAAGCAATCGCAGGGCTCCTAATATCCTCGGCAGAAGGGGGCCGTTGTTAGCAAGAGGACCTCGTTGCGCCGCGCCGTGGCGGGGATAAAATGGTGCTCGTACCTCATGCTCAGAAACATGTTGAGACCTGCGCCAATGGTGACGAAAATCATGCCCAGGATCCAGGCGCGGAGCGTATTTGCGACCTCGCCGCCATCGGTGTTGCGGACTGCCGCGCGTACCTCCTCGTACGGCGAGTTTTCGCTGAGGAGCGCATCCGTCTCGGCGATTTCCCTGGCATTGTTGTGGGCGAGCGCATCGTGGACGGCGGCGAGCTTCTCGGGCGGCAGGTTCGGGTCGTTTCGGTGGTTCTGCTCAAAGCGGCGCAAGTCGTCGCGCGCTTTTCGTGATTCCAAGGATGATGATGGTGGTGATGCCGACGACGCCTCGACTGATGAGGAATCTTGGTCGCGAGTGGCAGCGCCTGTGGCTGACACCTTTTCGGAGATGGCTTGCGAGTTCATATTCCCGGTGATGCGGCTGGCGCGCCCTGAATAGACCAGCTGATCAGGCGGAAAATGGGCTCGCTGCCAGAAAGAAGAAGCGACTTGTCCTTGGCTAATAACAAGACTGAAGAGGCTGAATAGGCATGATTGCTACACAATCTCATGTTGCCATTCCAAAGGGACAGGGCAGAGTACCTATTTATCCAGCGACTGCCGCAGTACTGGCCCAAGTGCTGACTGCCCCCATGAGTGGGGGGGCAGACAAGAGCCGGAACTAACTCATATTAATGGATTATAAAAAGCGGCACATCCATGACACCAAAGGAACTTGATGGGACCTTGCTAGCTATAGCCTATAATTACCTATAAGTTGCATACATACAGGGTATAGATTGGCCAAACATGGCGAATTAGTTGATGACCTGGTGGTGCAAGTGCGGATGCCCTGCCTCCACTGTGGAGAGAACCTTGTTTGAGCTCCAGAACTGATCAGTGGCCCGATATTAATATGTGCCATCTGATTTGCTTCCTTTTTGCTCTCTCTCT